CAAAACAAATAAATCCCAAGGAGTGGAAAGAGGAGGAAAGGACATTCACACAGTGAGAAGAATGGGAGAGATAATCAGTGGGGAAATGATAGTGAGAAGGACACTGAGAAAATAAAGAAAGGAAAAGCAGATTACGTGGTTTTCTCATCTAAAGAGTGATTAATGCTTATAGGTCCCCTATTATACTGTTTTTCATCAATATATTATAGGTCTCAGATATATACAAAACATCTCTCTGAAGTGTTTGGCTCCAAACACCAAACAGATCATTGCAGCATCCCATAATCCCCTCTGTTTCAGCCCTGTTTCAAAAGTGCTGATTCTCTGTCTGTTACTTTAAATGAAAATAAGGAGCCCCTCCCCACGCCCCTCTGAGAGAGATTTGGTTAAAAAGAACACAATGGTGCTCTAGGAGGAGATTCAGGTGATAAGGTGTGGGGGGTTACCTTGGTTGGTGATTGGCTAATGGTTACACAAGCCAAAAAAACATTATGACATCATAAAGTGGCCAAAATCTGATCAGCTCATTTTCAGACAGGTTTTTATATAAATGGATCAGGACAAAAAGAGAGAGAATCTTTGTTCCTGAAACTTTCAGAATCTCTTTCCACAGAGGGGACACATGTTGATGTAGAAGAGACGTGAAAAAGTGTAGAGTTTCAATGCTGCTGACTGACAGACTCTAGTGGGGTAAGGGGGGGGATTCAGTGTACGCTGCTTTGATTAAATAGGATTTCAGTTTATAGCCACAGCAGATGGAGATACAGGGTCATCTGGTTTGTCTAAATAGTTGTATCCGTACGGCTGCGTTAGTGTGTACATGTGTTGTTCCAATGTGTTTCCAGTCTGCCATGGATTGTGGCCAGGTAGAGAAGCATGGGACACAGATTGGGAAATGTCTGTCTGCATTTCTATCGCTCCCAAACAAATAGAGCCAAGGTAATTGACAAAACATGTACTGTAGGTCCAGGAACAAGTTCTCTATCAATCCTTAACATGGTTGGACTTGCAAAGGACAAGCAAAAAAAAATCTACGTCGATGCATTGTTTTTGTCTAAATCTGGTGCCTACATTACCCACAATGCAACTGGAATGATTACATTTTGGTCAAAAAGTTGGCTTTTTATGCTAGTAGCAGCAAGCTATAACCAAAGCGAAACATAATACCAAAGATTTTTATTTTACTGACTTGTAGTCTTCAGTCTCAACTGATGTTGTCTCAAGTGACGTAACTTAAGCCAATGTATGACATTTTGCACAGCTCAAATGCTTGCTACAGTACAAAAGGTTTTATACAACTTTTTTTCACATTTGGAGTAGCACCTAAATGTGACTTTATCCTCTCATCTAACCAGTAAGGTCAGGGATATCTCGGAGTCTAGGACAAGATGGGCAACAACGTGAAAAGTTACACATATAAGTAAAAATTGGGACATATAACAATCAAAGAAATCAGCAGTTTTCTGGGGGGCAACATAGTCAAGTTGTAAACACATCAAATACATGTTATTACCTTTAAAATTGATCCTGTTAACTTTGCATCTACGGTATTGCACACCTGCAGACAAAGGGCAACAATAGCATTTATTGGTAGGTATTTTCCTGGACACTTGATGAATCTAAGTCAAATATTCACTCTTCCAATAACTTATTTTCTCCTTCAACTACAGAGGGTGTAGCAGACGAATGCTCAACGCAACAACTAACTTTGCCTGCTGTTTAGGGCTGGCCTGGTTTGCCTACTGTGAGTTTTATGAACTTTTGTTTTGTTGAAATGAACTGCCTTCTTCTCTGTTGCAGACAGGCTGATTCATTGTTTTATTACCTCACGCCTGGACTATTGTAACGGACTCCTGTCCGGGGTTCCCAGCAAAACCCTGAACAGGCTCCAGTATATACAGAACTCAGCTGCCAGGGTTCTCACACGCACTAAGCCCTGGCAGCACATCACCCCCACTCTCTTCAACCTCCACTGGCTCCCGGTCAAGTCCCGCATCACTTACAAACTCCTCCTCCTCACCTACAAGTCCCTCCATGCCCTCTCCCCTCAGTACCTCACAGATCTCCTCCACCCATACATCCCGTCCCGCACCCTTCGATCCTCAGACTCTGGCCTGCTCTCCATTCCACCTTCACGCCTCCGCACCTTCGGGGACCGTGCCTTCAGTGTCGCTGCCCCCACCCTCTGGAACTCCCTCCCTGCAGAAATCCGCAACGCCCCTTCTCTGAACATCTTCACATCAACCCTTAAAACTCATCTGTTCAACATCGCCTTCCAACAATAACTCACTCTCCCCCCCCACTTACACTTCCATTTCTGCCCCCTGTTTTATGTTTTATGTCTTGTCCTTGTATGTTTCTTTGTAAAGCGACCTTGAGGTTATGAAAGGCGCTATATCAATTCAAGTTATTATTATTATTATTATTATTCTACTGGAAACATTGTTCCTTCTGGCATCAGGTTTACACACTTCTGAGTTCTAGAGATGAAGGACAAGAAGAAGTGTGCAGTTTCTCCAACCAAATGTAGGGAGTTTGTTTTACTCTTAGGACAGGAAAGCACTGCAGCCACCATTTACAAAATGCTTTCCCTGTGGCAAAGGATGGGAATCAGGAAATGCAGCTCTGGCCAAATTAGAGGTCAGTTTACATTACGTAACTGCCAACCAGTCTCCAAAGCAAACCATTAGGATAAATTATAATGACATTAAGATGGATTCCCTATACCTCCCAGGAAGCCATTGTGTTTCTCATTTAAGTGTAGAAACCTGTGGAGACCTGAACCCCGTTTCATCTTGTTCGCTTTCTTTTTGATGTTATCTATCACGGAGAGTGGATTTCTCATAAGTCGTAAACTCCGTTGCCTGACGAAATTAGACTTGTTCACACATTGTGCTTCCATCAAAGATTCATTTAGACATTTATATAGTACACAGAGGCTATGCAAATGTCTTAAAGGGATATGCATTGGGTTCAACATTCGACCTGGCTCTTTGAAGAATGTGTTTGAAGCATTTTAACAAGGCGCTCATCCTTCATCTCCCCACTGGCACCACAGCTGGCCTGGCACATGAACAACCCTTCGTTAAACCTCATATCTGGGCATGAATGCACACATACCCACATGCATGAGGTTAGGTGTAACAGATACAATCCATAGTTGAAGCAGTGTACTTGGATTGTATTCTGTATTCTTGTTGAGTGTCCTGATATGCTTTTGCACTGTTACTGTAGGTGCTTGCATGTTAGAGGGATGGATTACTGTATGTCCGCACCCCGCTGCTAAACAGACAGGTTGACTGTTTTATAGATTTTGCAGAAAAGCCCATGGTCTTCATCCCAGCTCCTACAGTGCTTACTTGCAGTTGTTCTCAGTAAGTGCCCTTAAACCATTTGAAGTGTTTGGCAGTAAACAATCCATCTGAGCCAGGGCAAAACGGTCGCCCAAATATGGAGCTGTTCCACTCAGTGTTGATCTAGAGAGGAGAAGAGATGACAAGACAAGAGCAAGCAGCAGAATGTCGATTAGCAAGGATTACCGAACTCTGGCTCTATAAAATGACACAGAATGCCCCTTATTAGAAGATGAAAGCATTCATGTGGGAGATGTTTTGTGTCAAAGAGGCCAACTTGTGCCTGTTTGAAACAAGTGGTAGAGAGTGTGTCAGCCACTGTGGGAATCTTTTTATCTTCACTGCTTCATCAGTGAATATACAGATGTACTCCTGTGCAAAACAATAGAACGTTAGCTCACCACCAGAAGCTTGAATATTATTCATAACAGAAATGTAAAACAGATCAAACTGCATAAGTGTTTGGTCAAAAGTTGGAATTTGTTACTGTAAAATGGCTACAACAGTCACACAAAAAACAAATGACATTCTCATGATGGTGCTTGAGGAAAAGTCAGGGGGTCACTAAGGGCGCTTTCATACATTCAGTTCAGTTCATATGGTTTTCATGGACACATTATAAATAAACCAGCATTTCTATTGACGGACTTAAAGAGGAATTATGCTCGTTTTCAGGTTTGTGCCTCATAATCGTTTTATTAAGATTATTTTACACTGAGCTTGTTGTTTTGTTGTTGACCTGTTCATTTGTTGGGGTTTTGTTTAAAGGAGCCCTTTTATGCTTATTTTCAGGATCATATTTGTATTTTTTGCCTCCACTGTGACATGTTTACATGCTTTAATATTCCAACAGGGCTTTATAGAAACTCCCTCTGGAGGGAACTTTGGGATTTTAGCCTTTGCCGACCATTTAAATGCAGAGAAACCTATAATAATGTCTGGACAAAATTGTATGATCATCCATCTGATAGTTATTGAGATGTTTCCGTCTGGTCCAAAGCAGTGGACCATAGCATGGTTAAAGGAAGTAGGACAGAACACATCACTGTGTAAGTGGTTGGTTCCACCTCTTACACTATATTGCAAAGTGATACAATCCAGAAACCACAATTGTTGCCTGCAACATGCATGCTAACATCACTCAGGGCCTAATGACAAAGCAGAGGTTCTCCTCTAAAGCTGCGATCAAAGGCAGATGTTGGACGTGGACCGAGGCAATGGAACAAAGCTGCCCGGATTTACATCTCCAAGGCTGGAAGCATCACACCAGACCCATGGGTGATGGTTTTGACACCCAATGCCCAATTTCTCTGCTAGTAAGCAGCATATTCTGGAAGGCGTCCATTTGTTTCACAAACGGGAACCAAAACAGGGTTGCAGCCCTCCTACAAGTGTGTGTGTGTGTGTGTGTGTGTGTGTGTGTGTGTGTGTGTGTGTGTGTGTGTGTGTGTGTGTGTGTGTGTGTGTGTGTGTGTGTGTGTGTGTGTGTGTGTGTGTGTGTGTGTGTGTGTGTGTGTGTGTGTGTGTGTGTGTGTGTGTGTAATGCTACACCAGACACAGCCTTGTTGCTCCTTTGAGAATCAGCTTGACTTTCCTCAAAGTCTCTCTCCCCTCACATTCTCTGTGTGATCCAGCTGAGTGGGTGAAAAGCAAAGGAGTGAAGGAGAGAAAGAGAGAGAGAGAGTGCAGCTTGTATAAGGCAGTAGTCAATCACTCAACACACCAGAGAGAGAGAGAGAGAGGCAGAGAGAGAGAGGCAGAGAGAGAGGCAGAGAGAGATACTGTAGAGAGAGATTGGAGGAGCAGCCGGCCGCTCGTCCCTCACTCTAGGCAATAAGTTTATAGGCAGCCCGGCAGATTTTCTTGGCTCAGACGCAGCGCTCATGACAGGATTAGGAGCCGGGGACGCGGGACAAACCGGAGATCTGCAGGTCCGAGTGGACGAGCCTGGGCCAGATTCTCTCCCTGCACAGGTAGGACTGTCACCTTCATGCTGTATCACATCTGGCTTACAAAAGTCTATTCAGAGCTCCCCAATTCTTCCTGATACAATATTCCATTTTCAAGAGCCATATTCTGGCAAGTACTGTTTGGCACCACTGTTCAGTTCTTGGTGACAACATTCAATTTACTGAGAGCTTGCAAAAGCATATTATTATAATCTGTATGTGAAATGGTTATAAGGTTGTGGATTTGTAATAAAACTCTCCAAAGGATTATTTCTGCTTCTTATATGACAGGCTTTTTTGAAAGTTTTACAAGAAGAGAACAATGAAATAAGAAAAGGCAAAGCACCCCCTCTATTCTTTTGTTCTTCAGACATTAGAGGCATGCCCTGATGAAAAACATACCCAACTTGGTGATTTTGAGAGCTTACTAAGTGTTTCATTATAAGTTATTTGAAGATAAATTGCAGCAGCACGACTAGGACCCGCCACACATTCATTAAACTATTTGCAGCTTGGAAGGCTTCTGTGCCAAGGATGCAATTACATGGGTGAAGATATGAAAAGACAAAACCCCCCAAAAAACCTTCAAACAAGCAATGAATAGCTGTATTCATTACATTTAGGTTGCACCGTGTTCAAGATCAGCATTAAAGGGACTGCTAAAGTACTTTTTATAGTGTTGTTTGGAGTTGTGGAAGTTGTGGAAGTTGTGCCAAGTTCCTGGACGGTCACTGCATGCTGGAGTTGATGAATCGCAGATCAATTCTGCAGCAAAGGAAACATTCAATGGCTAATTTTAGATGCCCCATCGCTGCTTTTGTTATGTAACTGGCTGGTGGTCCCATGCACCATAACTGAAAAGCACTCACACAGGCATTCAGTTCCCTGAGAAGCTCCACTTTTGCCAGATTGTGGGCTTCATTTAACCTCTTGGATCCTTTTTTACCACACTAAAACTTGAAGTTCTGTAAAGCTTCATGCAGAGTTTGCGTGTTCTGCGGGTCTACATGTATATGCGTGTGAGCGCTGCTATAATGTCCATCTGCACATGGAGTTAAATGCAACTGTGTAAGCTTCAGTAAAAATCCAGGCTGTGTGGTTTCCCTCTGGAATCCTGCACAACAACAAAAATACGTGGGGGGGGGGGGGAAGAGAAAAAGCTTGACTTGCAAGTTTACTCTGATAGTCCCTTTTACTTCAATTTCTGCTGTTTCAGCTTGCGGCAGATAAGTTCAAGTGGAACACTTTGTAGTAGGAGGAAGGAGTGTGTGTGTGTGTGTGTGTGTGTGTGTGTGTGTGTGTGTGTGTGTGTGTGTGTGTGTGTGTGTGTGTGTGTGTGTGTGTGTGTGTGTGTGTGTGTGTGTGTGTGTGTGTGTGTGTTTGAGCTGCAGATGTGTCTGGCACCAATACAAAGCATTGTAGCTGGTTGGTTAGCGGAGACAGTGTGCATGTGTTTGTGTTAGTGTGTGTGAGCTCTGTTGAACATCTCATGACAGTTTTTGTTCTCCCTCATTCTGATGAAGCCGTTTGAAAAGCACTCAAGGTTTTTGATGGAAAATAATAAAAAATAACGACAGTAAAATATGACATAAAGGAAAGAATACATGTAGTAAAATGGCCCAAAATGTATAAACCTGACACATTTGGGCTCTACAGTAATCCCGTTTTTATGATGCAGCTGAGGTTTTCATAGTTAGCAGTTTCAGAACATGATTAGCCCAAGCCAAGAAACACGGGGGAGACCACACTGATGCCTGCATAACGTCAGCTGAAAACTGGCCGGTTCTCACAAGCACACACACACGGGAGCGTGGACTCTGACATGTGTGTGTACATGGGATGGTGACCTCTTCCAAGGGTTGAAGCTGCTATTCTTGTAGTTTGAGAAAAGTGATTTCTCAAGGGAGTAAGGAAACACACAAAGGCAAAGTTTTGGCTTATTTTCCATCCTTTTTGTGAGTTCACCACCTCTGACCCTCTCTGAAAAAATCAAAGTGTCATTTACTAAGCTTTTTCCCCTCTCTCCTCTCCATTCCTGCAGACCTGATTGCATCTGGTTTCAATTAGGCTCTCAGGGATGTGTGAGGCATTTCTCTGTCGCTTGTTCTCCCCACAGTTCGTCTGTCTGTGTCGATTTATCATCCTCTGTGCTTGTGGTTAGACTTCCCCCCTCCTCTTCTCTTTACATTCTCACAGACTGTACTGTCATTCTTTCCTTGTGTTCCTCTCCTTCTCTTTGTTACAGCTGGATGTATGTTAACTGGTAACAAGCCTCAGACCTGTGGGCATGCATGCACACCACACAAAGGGAACCAAAGACAAATAAAGTCAGGAAAGCTTTCTGGGAGGTTGGCTCGCAGAGGAAGAAACCCTTACCTTTAAGCTTTCTCCATCTCGCCCTCCAACTCTGTCTCTGTAATGAACTGCCTCACTGACTGACTCTCTGCAGCTGAATTGTTGGCATTTTTCTACTAGTAGCTAAGCTTCGTTCTTGTTTTTGAAGCCTCTCCTGCTTGTTCTCGCTCTCCCTCCTTAACACAGTGGCCCCTTGTGTTTCTGAACTGTTTTCTCAGGAGGTCTGACCTTCTTCCATCCCAAGTTGCCAGTCCAACGTTACTTGGGCATGGAGAGCCTCTACAGGCAGCCATTGCAGGTGGCTATTTGTATGACTTGCTCACTCCCCAGTCTGAGATAAGGTTGCAAATTGTCATTTAAAAGTGATTTTTATAAGAAACGCAAGGAAATGGCAATACAGTTGACTGTAAGTTCAAAAACAATGAGCTGAAAGGAACTTAAATGCACCGTAAAGCCTAGGGGATTTACAGTGTTTTGTTTCTTTGTTGATCCTTATGGGGGACCGCTTTCATACTTCGCTTGTTGTGTGTGGTTTCCCTCCGTCGTTTGTTTGATATCAAATTATTTATTGGAGCAGTTTCAAGCCGTGTGTTTTGGCTCGATTATGTAACGCCCCAGTATCGTGTCTTGTAGGACAGTTCATCTTGTGGTGCAAGCCTGCCAAGCTCAACCTAGTTCAGGTTTTGAGTTCACACCGAGTTCACACAGTCATTGAAGTTACAATGACTGCATTGTTGGTAGTTCCAGAATTCCACAAATGATATGACACCATCTTAATATATTTGATCTCTCGATATTGTGGTATCAGGACGAAAGGCCTATCTTGGAAAATGGTTCCCAATCGAGTGGAAATCCGAATGCATGAAATGGAATCTGGAAAAATCTGAAAGGAATCCTGATTTTTGACCGACAAATTTAAAATGGAGGTCTATTGAATTGTTAAAGTGTGCTGTTGGCTTCTTTTGTGCTCTTGACTAAACAGAAGCAAATCACCTGAAACCAAACAAATCCTGCTCTACGGTATTTGCCAGGAGAAATTTCCCTTTAGCTGACATCATTATGTTTTATGTCCCTAGTTTAGCTTCTGCCGTGAATGTTGTCTTTAGGGCTTCCGTTGTGTTCACTTTCTCCTTCAGGGGTTATTTTCATTCTAAGATGTGGTTTTCAAATAAGTGTGCTTCCTCCATCTGTATTTCTCTTAATGTCATGCAATGTTTTCTCCCACCCCCTCTTCCTGGTGGGTTGGGATGGTGTTAGAGGCCAACTGACTTTGTTTTCATCGGTCTGCAGAGACCAAATGAACCATTTGAGCCCACAGACAGTTCTGAAAACATACACAGACAGGGCTTTCCTTTGTAATGTATCTCACTGTGTACATCTGCATACATATACAGTTTTTCCTGTGTGTGCCATTTGGAAGTTAACTCCGCTTCATTCACACTCATAACATCCGCCAGGGAGGGTATGTTTTTGGTTTTGGATTGTTGTTCTTCTATAGGATTCCGGAAAGCTAACGCTCCTAACTTGGTGGAAGGGTGTAGAAAGGGTCAAGGAAGAACTCACTGAAGTTTGCAGCAGATCCGGATCAAGGGCCAGACACACGTTGTTTTTCAATCATTAAAACGACATTGACAGAAGTCTGCTTTCGATGAATACCCTTATTATTTGTGCTTTGATCCTTGGTTCTTTGGCAAAGTGGTGTTTGTAACTTCCTCTTGCCTTGGCCAATGTCAACACTCACATCCTGCCAAACAACCGGGTTTAATTGACTTCTTTCTGGAACACTACCCTGCATTATGTGTATGAAATGTATGTGGTGTTCTACTGTAACTTATCTTATCTTAAACTAACGCCATTAAGAGGAGTTCAAAATACAACATTGTGTAAAGACTGCGACAAAATAAGTAGTTTAATTTCAAAATAAGGTGCAGTGAAACTTGTAAAGCAGGAGACACATGAAGTTCAGTTGGAGATAAGTCTTCTTTCCATGCACAATTTTGCCCAAAACAAATTCCCCACAGGGTAACACCTAAGCATTTATTCAGTGGTTTGTTATGATAGAGAGCACACTTAAGCTGAGTACTTGCTATCCCGTAAGTGTCTAAAAGACTGACTCGTAAATTGTTTTGGTTTGAAAAGCCATTAGATAGATTTAACACAAATTCCCACATTGAATATTCCATTTGCTCAGCACTTTCAGATACAAAGAACAGTAAGAGTGTGTTTGGTGCACGCCATGGCAGTAATTCAATCTCTATCATAGCTGATGCCATTGTCATACACACACTGCAGTTTTGTCTGACAGGGTTTACTTGCTCTACTGATTTTGGTCTCTCTATAAATCCACCTAATGTGGTTGGAATGTGAAACAAATGAAAATGGAGCCAGTCATTTTAAAGAAAAACATACATTTTCTCATAATTAGCACCCAATATAAGAGCCAAACAACAGACTGTTAACAGACTCACCCTGAGGCCTGTACTCTTAGCATCAGTAAACTGTGAACAGACTGATAAAACTGTCAGCCAAATACAGCACTACATAAAGTGCGGAAGGCTAGACTAAGATTGATGAGATGACCACTTGGACTCACTGAAGTCTGGGATTAAGAACATTAGACAATAAGAACATAACATTTGTCAAATGTATATATATATATGTAGGTGTGTGGTGCAGTGGGCTAGTGCGTTGGTGTTCGGATCAGGGGAGCACAGGTTCAAACCCCACTGCAGTCTGCATGTCGTTGTGTCCCTGGGCAAGACCCCAAATTGCTCCTGTGAGGATTGCCCACAGTATTGAGTATGTAAGTCGCTTTGGATAAAAGCATCTAACAAGTAACATGCAATGTAATGTATCTAATGTTAGCTAAAGAATTGTACATGTTAATCAAGGTTCAAGGCTTTTATTAGTCATACATAGCTACAGTGTAGTTATTACGATGAAAATCTTAGGTCACAGGCTCCACCAACAGTGCAACACAATAAAACAGAAACACAGAAGAAATAGTGCAAGTAAATACAAAAAATAAAATAGTAAAATAGTGAAATAAGAGTCTGATTGAGAACTTGTTAAATATCTGATACTATCTGGAGCTTTGTAAGGCACTTGACTGCATTGTAAATAACAAAACTAGCCATGATAGCACTTTTTTGAGGCCGTACATACAGCATTGCTTTAGCCAAATGCTAACGTCCTTACATGCACATAAAAAGCAGACAAATCACTTTCCATCTTTTTCTGATTCTTCCCAAATGCTTATTTTACCATGTTCTAAAATAAGAGACAGATTGCTACCATATTTCATGTCCAGACCAAACTTCATGCTGGTTCAGTACAGATGACAGTGGCAGTAAAACAACAGTCTGCCTAGCATTTAGAGCAACTCCCCTGGGGGAAGTAACTGGAACCCTGAGGGCTTTCTGGTCAATGTCTACAGGCACGGAGACGGGTTTCTTTGGGTTGGCAAAGACTTGCCAGAAGGAGCTGGGGTGGGTAATAATACTAGTCTGGAATGGCTCATTTCGAGCTGGTAGGGGCACGAGGTGACCCACAGGAATAGGATTGGACTTCTTGTTGTTCCCGGCTGGAATGTGTCTTGGACCTTCAGGCTGACCGTTGTTAGATATTTCTAAGAAGGGCTGGACCTTTCCTGGTGAGCAGATGTGAGCAATAGTTCAACAGATTTAGAGAGGGTTCAGTGACTTAAAAGGTAAGTTGATTGATCTCAAAATAAACAAAAGTGAACAGTTCCATTAGCTTGTTTAAACGTACAATTCAATATTTTCAGTTTGATCGACTTCTGTGGACAAACTCCTGCAGTGCAAAACCTTTTTTAGGCAACAAAACTACTCAATTAGGTTTAGGAAAAGATTGTTGTTTGGGTTATTGGGTTAGTTAAGTAGCTATGTTACATAACCAACCCAAACAACAATCTTTTCCTAGGGTTAGGTTAGGGTTAAGTAGGTATGTTACATAACTAAAGTATGTCACAAGTCAATGTCAACAGCTGTTTCTTGGCCATCCATCCATACACCATAACAATGCAAGGTCTTTAGAGGCAGTCCTGCATGTCCTTGCTCACAGTTATATGGTTTATACACAAATTAATTTTGTATATTTCCAACAGATGACTGTATATCAATGCAGAATCTATTGGCAACAGGACAACAGTTTGGTATCAAAAGCGTCCTGGTTTGGAGTCCAAGTTTTATTAACCTATGACGTTCCAGCAGGCTTTGCTAAAATAATACATATTAACAGTCTGTGCAGAGAGAAAAACAGGCGAATGCATTGACCAAAATGGAATGTTGTTTCCTAATTATTTAACTTTTTATTAGTTTGTAGACTGGATTCTTGTTTAACAATGAAGTCCTAAAAGGTTTTCTCTGAACCTACGCAAAAACCCCAAAAATATTATTTGTTCTTGTTGTTGTTCTTGTTTGTTTTATCGTCTGACTGATAGCTTATGAATTGTAATGCAATTCATGCCACACTTTACCCACTAACCTGCACAAGACAACTGGTACAGTTACATCACAGTACTGTTTATAAACCACTTGGACCAGACCAAATTAATTGACCTGAAAGCATTTACTCAGAGGAAGTGTCTGGGTCCACTCAAGACCCATGTCCATGCTTTCCACCTCAGTCTCGTCCAGAGTTTGGACTGGCACAAGTCTCACCTGTCTCTCATCAGCCGCACAATCATGCAAGAACATGTGCTTGGTGTTGATGTATAGGACCCATGCACATGAACATACACATGAACAAATTCATTCTGGTCCCGATGGGTTTGGGGTAACAGCTCACTAGAAGTGTATTATTGCATGGACGGCTGCAGCGAAGGGGAATCAAATGTTCGCTTCATTTGAGACGATTGCAAGTTGGACTGTAGACTGTCAATGGACTGGAAAGGGTCTCCCCTGGTACATTCTCAGCTGTTTCTGTCTGTCGTTAGCTAACATGCCCAGTCTGTTCACAATGGAACGAGACCATCTGCATAGACGGGCTTGTTCCACTGTGTGAGAGTCTGGAAGACTGTGAGGAGGCTGCGGTTTGGTACAGTTGGACTGAGTCAGCGTGTGTGTGTGTGTGTGTGTGTGTGTGTGTGTGTGTGTGTGTGTGTGTGTGTGTGTGTGTGTGTGTGTGTGTGTGTGTGTGCGTGTGTGTGTGTGTGCGTGTGTGTGTGTGTGTGTGTGTGTGTGTGTGTGTGTGTGTGTGTGTGTGTGTGTGTGTGTGTGTCTGTACAGTGTTCTGGCAAACATGTGGACCTGGACTTTCTGCTCCTGATCGCACAAGGGGCCCATGACTCACAATTTGTGAACCCCTTGTATCCATAAATATCAATAACTCAAGTCTTGGAGTTACCATATTTTCCACAATTTGGCAGTACAGATGATAGGACAGCAGGGGTTCAAGGAAGAGAGAGAGAGAAGAGGCTTGAAAAGATGGAAAGCGAAACCTTGGGGTCTGATTAGCTAATTGAAGAAGAAGTTCATGGGATATCCATGAAAGAAAACTGCAACTTTACTACGACCACACTCTAGCCCATAATATGTTAACACGTAACAAATGTCGCTTTTTTCTTTTCCTTCAAACCCCCTTTCCTGTTTCCTCTCGCTCCACCTCTCCGCTAATTCTTTCAACATGTGCAGTGTTACCATTTAGATGTCAGCAAGTCTCAACATGCCACCATGAGAAATGCCTGTACGTTTGATTACATTTGTAAATACAATTATATTCCTTTTCTTTACCGTTGAACCTTTCAAATATTTCCCTCACAATATAACACTCTGTCCAGCTTTTTATTTTCACCAATTGATCAATCATTTACATTTCTATTAGACTTAAACAAACGTTAGAATGTTTTCTGTCCCATTTTCTGTAATTGTGATTACGTACAATATGGTCGTTTGTAGATTCAAAATGAACTGTAAACTGGTGAAAATGGTGAAAGGTGTGAAAAATGTTTGCATTGTTAACCCATAGCTACTTTGCCATTATCATTGCTTGCTAGCTATAGTAGCTCGGACGTGAGCAAACGTGTAAAAAGATTACTATCTCTAAGAAATGACGTGGGCAGAACTTTTCTTTGGTTTTCATCTGTAGTTTTAGGGCAAGGTTTGGTCAAAAGAGGAAGTACGGAAACTATGGACATTTATCAAAAATCGATACAGAGTTCGTCAGGTCAAACTTCATGACTTACCGCTGTATTACCTTAACTTGTTTGGCAAATCACTACAGAGCCTCAAGACGAATGTTATCTATCATTCAACCAAGTTAAAGATTTAGCCATTTCTGACACCTCCCGTTGTTATTGTGTCGTTTGTCAGTCTTGCATTGCCTGCCATCAGAAGTACTTGGGTGACAAAAATGACCAACGGTGAACGTCACTTTGGTTCATGTCTTACTGGGTTAAGTGAAAGTTCTTCCATAGATTTGGAACACAGGACGAATAAAAAGAAAAACTTTAATAACACAATTTGTATGTTTACGTGAGCTCCAGTGTAATTAGTAAAACAGAGTTTGCCAGTGTCAGGAAAAAATCCTACGAAACCCAAAACAAGTCACCAGCAGGGATTCAAGTGTGAGCAAGGGGCCAAACCTCACCTCTCCCTCTGTTTTTCTCTCTGCACACAGCTGTGACGGGCCTCCCGTGTCCCGTCACACCAATCTTCCGACAACAGTCTTCCGAGGTTGACCCGATTACCTCGTCTCCTCTCCCATCATGCGTCTCCTCATCACCCTCCTCCTCCTGCTGCTCCTCGGGTCAGCTGAGCCCCGGAGAGGCCCTCGCTCAGGGGCTGTGGAGAGGGGCGCGAGGGGCCGGGTGCGGGGCAGAGACAGGGCCGGAGTGATGAGACGTCAAACTCAGGAGTGTAAGGAATACATTGAGGCCGGAGAGAAGTACCTGGACTGCCAGGACAGGCAGCTGACGGCCGTGATGCAACACTGGCCTAAAGATATTCACCACCTGCTGCTGGCAAGAAATAAGATTCAGGTATGTAGTGCACTTTCTACTTCCTCATGCACATTTAAAGAGGCATGACATATGTGAATTGACTGTAGCAGGGGGTCTAATGAAACACAACTTACAATAATTAGCAGGTTCTGAGAAAGTCTAGTACAGTTTTATATAGCCAATTCGTAAATAAGCCTTTTACTCCGACCCTAGCTGGTTGCTAGCATGAGCATCTGCACACCATTTATTTGGAGCCGAGATCAAAGACACATTTTCCTGCTGTGTGTGTGTGTGTGTGTGTGTGTATAGTTTTGTGTATGTTTAAGTGCGCACACAGGATATGTGTCACAGGTGTTGAGAGGAACAAAACAAACCACTTTGCCTGCGAGGTAATAAATAGAGAATAGACCAATCACATACAAAAATCCCTCAATTACGAGTATAATTACGGTTAATGGTCGATTTCAAAGAGCTGGTTGTTGAATGAAAGAGTAGTGAAGGAACGAATGAAAAAACAATGGATTTTATTATATTTCGAGCTAGGTCTTTATAACTTTTTTGTTGGATTTTGCCAAGAATTATAAAACATTATTGCAAAACAACAATCTGATTGCTAAAGCCAACTCATTGTAATTAGGTGCATTGTATTTATGCTTTTACAATAGGCCTAATAGGGGTGCCCTACAGTTTCAATTGTGGAATAAACTCATCCCATTATGTGATATTACCTCATCGGGCCTTTGCCTATAAAAAGTTAGCGAACAACGATGTCTTGGACAATGTTTGACAACCAACTTTTGGTTGAGTCTCACCGTTGTCATGATTCCCATTTGAAAATTAGCAGACAGCTGCCCAGTGCAGAGGAGCCGAATATCATATATATTGATTGAAAACAAATCTACTTTGACTGCAACTTGGCAGACAAGATCTAATTTATCGGTCAATCTAATTCTCATTTCTCTTTGCAGCACTGACAAGGTTTTGGTTTATTAGAAGCTAATGCACTAGCAGGAGTCGATGTTTTGGGTAATTTGAAGCTGATACACTAGCAACAGTCCAGGTTTTGGGTAATTCGAAGCTAATACACTAGCAACAGTCCAGGTTTTGGGTAATTAGAATCTAATGTCGTTGCAGGATCCTTGCTATTCTGAGTTTGTATCATCATAGTTGATTGCACCTATTGTAAATCACAATCATTCTCGTCTCCCCTTAGGTTTTGCGGGACAACATGTTCTCCCAGTTCTCCCAGCTGAAAAGCCTGGACCTGCAGCAGAACCACATCTCGATGGTGGAGGACGGAGCGTTCTCCGGCCTCTCAGCGCTCACCACCCTGCTCCTCCAGCACAACCGTCTGAAGACCGCCACCGAGGAGGTCCTGCTGCCTCTGCCCCGCCTCACCTACCTCCGTCTCTACGACAACCCCTGGAGCTGCAACTGCCAATTGGACAGCCTGGTCAGGAACCTTCAGGTGCCTAGCAACCGCAACCTGGGCAACTACGGCAAGTGCGCGCAGCCCCTGTCGCTGATGGGCCAGAAGCTGAAGGGGCTGAAGGTGGAGACGTTGTGCTCCGGAGACAACCAGGTGGACAGGAACCAGGGCGGCGGACAGGGGGCGGGACTAAGGCCTAAGCCAGCCAAAAAGACAGAGGCCACGTCCATGTGCCATACCTACATGTTCCCCAAACCTCTGCTGGACTGCAGCAACAAAGGTGAGACTGTCACTGTATCACACATTCACATAACTGTATTAGGTTAGTTGAAAGCAATAATATTAAAGGTCACCTATTATGCAAAATCCACTTTTTCATGTCTTTTATACATAACCATATCCATATCTCTTTACCCAGAGGGGTCTGGGTAAAGAGATTCTGAAAGTTTCAGGAAAAAAGATTCACTCACTTATCACACATATAAAAACCTGTCTGAAAATGAGCTGATCAGATTTTGGCATCTTTATGATGTCATAACGATGTTTTGGCTTGTGTAACCATTAGCCAATCAGCAACCAAGGTAACCCCCCCCCACCTTATCACCTGAATCTCCTCCTAGAGCACCATTGTGTTCTTTTTAACCAAATATCTCTCAGAGGGGCGTGGGGAGGGGCTCCTTATTTTCATCTAAAGTAACAGACAGAGAATCAGCACTTTTGAAACAGGGCTGAAACAGAGGGGATTATGGGTAATGCTACAATGATCTGTTTGGTATTTGGAGCCAAACACTTCAGAGACATGTTTTGTATATATCTGAGACCTATAATATATTGATGAAAAACAGTATAATAGGGGACCTTTAAAACAACTTAAATATGAGGTGAGGCATAAACTCACACAAAGACCCACTTCTATTTTTCCCGCATTTTTCATTTGCAGCCAAACCCATGTGAAATCAACCAGTGTCACTTTGTGGTAAACTGTAGCTTGTCTTTTTCGATGGTTACCATGTGTGACCTGGCGAACATTTCAATAACAACTAGACTGCCCTGGCAGAGGAATATACCTTGTATAAAAGGTACATTTGTTAGGTTTGCTCAGCACTCTGTAGTGGAGAGTCTTGCTTGCTTTTCAAGTGAAATTGGGAATGAGAATTAGATTCTGTCAGATGTTTTGGTTACAGCAACAGTGAGCGAGATGTGTTTGTTTTGCCACGTGGTGTGTGAGAGGGAAGGTCTCATAGTCTTAGCCTGTCCTTTCAAATTAAAAGCTATCATCTCCTTGCAGAAAACATAATTGTCTTTCTTCATAATTTCTTGTTTGACACTATAGGCTACCGTCTTGCATTGTTTGGCGGTTTGATAAGTAGCATTTTGAAGCATTTGAGTTCATGTTTAGACAGTCAGGTATGGGGTTCAGTACCCCTCACATTTCCTTCTCTTAGGGTTAGGGTTAGGGTTTTCTTTGTTCAATAGGGCAGTTATTTATGGTGGCCAACAGCCCAAATGGACCAAAACACATGCAAATAAAGAAACATCTTCACCAACTTCACTAAAAGTGCTGCAAATAAAAAAACACAACGATTATAAAGTTGGCCGACAATCATTATCACTGGAAACGTACCTAAAATGTAAGTTTTATTGGTTTATTTTAACAATGTTATGTGAGTGTTTCTGGCCGTTGTAGTGAGTTCGCCCCTGTTGACCACCAGTTATTACCACCAGCAACTTAACTTGTTCGTTTTTTCAGTTTAACAAGGAGTCAGCATGACTAGAAGGCTGCAGAAAAGATGGGAATAGTCAGTCAGGGGACGGAGGGAGCAGCTCTTCTAGTTTTCACATCTGGTTCCCTTTGTGTAAAAATGCCCCTATGTGACTTCTACCATAAAAGCTGTAACTCCTCCAGAGCTCCATAAAACTTTGTGTCACTGTTGTTTTCAAAGACAGGCTGGAGGGATGAATGACAGTTTCAGATTTTTTGCAGACGGATCATTTTTTGGGTACTTTAATGTGGGGTCTTTCATTCTTGGTTGCTCTCTCATCTTCTCCCTTTCATCTCATCTTCTTTCGTTGACACCCAAATAGCATCCCGTGTCAACACTGAACTGAATGATGGCCTCTGTCCATGTTTTAGAGTAAGTGGGCTACCCAGATTAAATGAGCAATTGAATGAACGTATAAATGGAGAGCTTATGCCTTTCATTGAAAGAAATCCTTCACAGAGCCAAAACCACACAATGCAGCATCTGTGTTGTGCAAATGCTCGAGGAAGCTTTTCACATATTTTCCTAATTTATTTTTCTCCACAGTAATGCTTTTCAATCGATTCTTTATCTGAACCACTATAGGGCTTCTCTGTTTTTCACACAGGCTGATGAACTCATCCATCTCTTTCCCTGAGTTTCTTTTGCACGATAATAACTCTCCACATCCTGCCTCCTAAACCATGAAAGTGATATGCGATGTGTGGATTTTCCTCAACATACTGCAGCTGTTACACATGACATTAGATAAGTGTTGTTTTGTGCTTTTGCTTAGCACATACATTGTAAGCCGATGCCCGTTGAGTATTTCCATTTTGCTGTTTTCACTGCGCTGCCTTCCAGCTCCAATGTTTCCCTTAGCTCACTTCGTTAGCTGTCAGAGTGAAATCTAATCACAGGTATATTATATCATTGACCTACACATTCAGCTTTCTCCTCCACTTATAGTCGGTTTACAAAGAAATGCTAGCAGTTTGCCAAAATGGTGGCACAATATAGCCTTTTAAAATCGCTTAATAACATCTAAATGGATATTAAATTGCCTTCTCTTAGTTAACTTTCATTATTCAATATTTCTTAAGACCACCCACCTCTCTCAGACTATATGGAGCGTGACCCTGCTGCCTCCAAGTTCCCATTAACTTGGAAGCATAAATCATAAATCATTTGCAAATGTGATTCTTTAATATGCTTCTGATCTAAAATGTTGACATCCATATTTGCTAGCTTGCATCCCACTTCTTCTGCTTTGCATTAGTTGCCACTTTGGTATACTTCTACGTCCATTTCTACTGCCCACAAGCTCATTCATGTGCATGGCTGATCATGTGACCGTGTTCAACATAAACAAACTAAAGGTCAAAAACTCCATAGAGTACCTATAATTTGTGTTTAATTGGTGGACATTTCATTAAATACAGCTTCATCATCAGCATGATTGCTAATTATTATGGTGGCACAATATCAACTAAAATAACCAAGCTCGTAAAACCTGATTTTGGTAAAGGGTACAAGAAACAGACACTACATTTGCTGATAACATTGGCCTGTTTGGTCCAGCCTGCACAGTTTTTAATTTGACAGCAATACTGACATTTTTTAAAGTTAATAAACTGTCAGATTAGAAATCCACCAAGGAACTTGACAAAATCATCTGAATGTCAATGGTCAAAACCACAAAGAATCTGTAAGGTCAATGAGGATGAGTGGAACAAACATGGTTCTCTTTCAGATGGGATTGAAAAACAAACGGGGGTGGGGGGGGCGTATGAAAAACCCGAGTGGAAACATATTCTTATCCCTCCGTCTCCATACCCTATGTCTCCCTCACTCTGGTTTGAAAGCTTTCATTAGAGGTGAACCACAGCAGATTTCAAGCTCCAACTCATTTTCACTGGAATTCAATGCTACATAAAGTGGCTGGAGTTAATATGGGAGTATTTAAGGGCTGTGTTACTCAAAGATGGGACGTGGACTTTAGTGCTGTGGCAAAATGTGCCTTCAAATGACTTCTGTTCAAATCTCTGTTATACAAACACTGATGACGTTTAGTATTCTCATTAAGACACTCGTTTGCAACCGCTTTTTTTTTAACCCACATAGAAGCTTCAGACGTTCAGGAGTGGGGTATTAACGTTAGATTTTATGACCGAAATACTTACTCTTTTCCCGGTTTTAGGACTTATTCTTGCACCACTTCTATATTGACTACCATATGCCATCACAGGCAACATAGCACTAGACTTGCCAACTATATTCCACTAACTGGACTAGGCTAAAACACAAGTCGCATTAATGTAAAAAAGTAACTTTATAAAGTCATGTTAGTGTATGAAATGACTGAAAAAAGCCTCTCTGCTCAGGAGGTCAAGAAATCATTGGTTTCCGATGTAACATAAATCCTCCATTTAAACTCCAGTCTGCAGCAGTAAAGTGACTCATGTATATGGTGAGTTGGCTGCTTCCCAGTCACACAAAACAACACCCTTGATATTACTGTATGTCCCTGGCCCCAGCGGGCAGTTAGTCAGCAGAAAAATAATAATCTTCCATCATTTCAGTGGGTGGCGAAGGTAGAGAGCGTGAAATGAGAAAGAGGACAGTGACTCTCACAAGAAAACGTCAATGAGAAGGGTAACACATTAAATATGAACCTATTAATTGCAGCACATCTGGTGGCTTGAATTGTTAAGAAAACACAAAGTAATTTTTAACCTTAAGCTGTGTGTCTAAAACTAAATTTCACGGCACTATAAAGTGATCATGTCAGCACTGTAAAAAAATGAACTGCTTCCCTTTCCACTGTCAAAACGGAATAATACATATTGCACCACCTGCTCCAGGAGAACAGTACAATTGCACAAAGGACATATATCTTATACAGCTGAGCGTCACACCTTTTGCTTAACTTTTATTTCATTTTATAGAAAATATGGTTAAAAGAAGCACACACTTTGGGTACATGCAATTAAAAAGCAGTGCTTACCCTTTCAAAATAAGCATAAATAGATATACTGTATGTCTAGAATAATGTTTTGCACGTTTTGCTTTACATTTACGGAAACGCTTAAACCTTATGTTCTACTAATGCGCAGCCTGCATTTAGTTAGGCCTATGGTTGGGACTGCATATAGTCCAAACTACATTTAAAGCAGAGGTGTTGTTAGACGAAACACACAGATTTTCTCAGGTAGTAGAAAAGCACTTCTTTGTTGGACAGAATATTTGAGGACAGATGTTCAAATAATGATTCTGCCAGATTCAGTGAAAAAAAAAGCCAGTTTTGAATGAATGACTTGAATAAATCTCTTTTCCTGACATGTTCTCTCTCCTTCTCTCTGTGTGTTTTATCATTCAACAGTCTGAGCTGCGTGGGCCCTAAAGTTAAAACAGGAAAGAGCCTAACACTTTATCTTAAAGATTTGCCCCATTAAATATCACAAGATACCCAAAAGACCCCTAAAAGAAACGTCCTGAACACACGTTTAAGCTACAGGAAGCAATGAATTAAAAAATAAAACGCAGAGATATTCAACACAGATTTAAGTTTTATCCTGTGTGTGGCTTAGATTTAAGAAACATTAGTCACAAACCAGACTTTTTGTCACTACTACTGCCACAGATACTTGTGTCATCACTGAAAACACAGCGTAGGAGATTATCCTGATCAGTGAAAAACACAGAAGACCACAGATGTGTTTCTCTTGGAGAAAGAGAGGATCTGTCTTTGGTTGATTTCTCACAAGGGAGCCTGGGAATTTCAGTCTTATGAAAGAAAGCCAGCATTTTTCTGACTTTTTTTCTAATCTTGGACAAAGCTGCGGACATATGTAGACCGGCATGTACACATGGGAAGGGTGGGAATTCCTTTAGACCTCTCATAGTGGAAGACTTTTGAAAGAAGTGTCTCGAAAAGTCCCAATGTCTCTACCTGCTGCACAGCGATCCGCCATCACTGTCAAGTAATCAATCACATTGTAATTATATAACCCGATATTACAGATTACACATTTGTGACTTGATATACAGACAATAACTCTCTCCCTATTAAACACAAAAGAACCCATCAACACCAACAGAAAACCAGAACTCAAATACATACAAGACCAATCAAAAGGCAAGACACAACTGGGAAGGGGAGGGAAAACACAAAGGAGCCGGGTGAACACAATCAGATAATCAGACAGGAGGGAAATGAGACATGAGACAGGGGGTGAACACCTTTCAAAGTAACACAGGAAAACAGACTGACTGTGACAATTCAAAATAAAACAAAAAATAAACAGACCGTGACAGCTTTACAGTGTGTACAGAATGCAACACCCTCTGGCCTCAAGACCCCAGCGGCGTAAAAGGAAAAACTCCCAAGAAACCCCACAAATAACAGGGAAGAAATGTTAGAAACCTCTTGGAGAGTAGGAGGATGGATCCCTCTCCAAAGACATACAGGGTGTTTCTCAATCGCGAGTACGCTTGCTTGGTAGCACAAGTCTTCCGAGCGTCTTGCTTCAGAAGCGAGGCAAGAATACTTCCTGGCATTCGGAAAACAAAGAGTGGAACATGCTAGCAAGTGTGCAGGTGTGCGTCATATGAGAGGCCTCGCCTTACATTTTCCGCCACAGATTTGGGGAAATTTGTCCGTGCGCAAAGCATTGTGGGGATTTTAAGACTGCGGAGTCTACTCATGTGCAGCCTCGAAATTTCTCCTAATGAAGTACGCCGGGCTCGGTAGATTTCCAAGTATGCTGGAGATTGGAACAGTACTTCGGCGGCACTCGATGACGTAGTATGCTTGAAATAGTGGCTCTGGAGCAGCTTTACTCGCGATTGAGAAACACCCACAGATATGCAATAGGTGTCCAGTGTGAAGATTTTAAAAGATAATAAACTTACAATAAAGACAGTCCAAATGTTAGAAAAGATAAAGAGTCCAAGTGGATGTCAACAATTTATCTAAGTGCCACCAAAAAACAACAACTCATGATCCAGACATACATGTAGAACCACTACTAACCGTGTTGCATTCTGGGAACGCAATTCCCCTCAGTGGGGCAGTAGAGTACTATGAGCTCTTTAAGATAGGATGGTGCCTCACCATTAAGGGCTTTTGTAGGCAAGACACTGCATTACATGACTACAACAATAAGTACATTTCCTCAGTGCATTGGCTACATCTCTGTTCACGCTGGATACGTGTGTCCTCTGAGTGTAATTATATTATCTTCCAGTCAGTGTTGATTAATGCACCATGCCTCCTCCTTTGTAACTAACTACATCTGCGGCAATCAACTGCATAAAGACGGCGACATCTGCTCTATAAAAGTGCCACGAGAATTCTTATGATCAAGTGGTACAGTCTGTTTAAAAAAACACATGCAGGAAACTCGTTCTAACATTTGTACGCATGGATGCTCAGTCGCTTACATATCACATACAGTCTTTTTCTCTTAATTTAGAAGACAAATCAGTGATTTTCCATCAAAATAAACATCTCAGCGCATGCCTTTACCCACGTGTGTTTCCTCTCATCTGCAACCCCTACGAAACGCTTAAAAAACAATCACCATATGTTTATTTTCATCTTCAGTTTTAAACAGAAGTGTGCCATGATTGGCACGGCAGATGTGAGCTCCGATTCAGACAAACAGACACTGCAGGTGAAACGAGTTTAAAGACCGTGGGAGGCAATTTAAAATCCATAAAAATTGCTCTTTTTCTCTTATTGTTTCTTACTTTAAAAGGTTTATCGCTACTGCCAAAAGTAGAATTGTGGAATGATGGGTCGTAGCTTGAATCTGGATCGATTTGTCCCCAGATAATGTAGATTCAAGCTCTGTTATATCTTTGAGACAAATGTGTTGACCGTCATAAATCTTTATTCCAGCCATCTCAACAGGATGATTGAATAGCATTTGGGAAATGTGTTCCAGTCTGGGACTTTGATTTAAAACTCTGTTATCGACATGGGAACATGTAGAAATTGCTGTTACATACATTAGTGTGAGATGTTGGGAAATGTGTGTGAGGCTGAAAACACTGGAAGATATTAGACACACACACTCGCCCTGGCACAGGAGAGAAATACTGTAATACATGCTGTCGCACTCGACTCCATCTTGAAAAAGTTAAATGTTGCACACAACCCACACAACATCTTGAAAATGTGTAAAGATGCTAAATAATAGGATTTTCAGCTTTTGTGTATAGGCTCTGGAGTTTTGCACTTTAGTGGTGCACATCTGCCTCGATCCTGTGAAGCAGCAGGACTTCAAAATCTTTGCAAAAACATGGCAATAAAGTTGATCTAAGTCTGGCTTTTTTTTCTTCTTTGCAGATTTGAGTAACATCCCATCTGACCTGCCGTCCGACCTGGTGAAGATGGATCTGTCCCGAAACACCATCAAACATCTCAGGCCCAAACAGTTCCTGCTGTCCAAAGACCTCAAGCTGCTCAACCTGAGCAGCAACAGCCTGCAACGTATCGACACAGGTAACACAACCGACCTCACACACACACGCACGCACGCACGCACGCACGCACGCACGCACGCACGCACGCACGCACACACACACACGCACACACACACACACACACACGCACACACGCACACACGCACACACGCACACACACACACACACACACACACACACACACACACACACACACACACACACACCACACACACACACACACACACATACCATGTATACATTACTTCAGGGGACATTACATTGAATTACATGCATTTCCTGGAGACTTATCCTAACCTTAACCATAACCAACACATGCCTAACCATAACCCTTACCCTTACCCTTACCCTTACCCTTACCCTTACCCTTACCCTAACCCTTACCCTAACCCTAACCAAGTCTTCACCCTAAAATTAATGATTCCCTTCATGGGGACCTCCATTGTGTCCCCATAAGGGAAGCCAGTCCCCACACGTGACTGTGTAAATAGATGTAGGTCCCCACAAGGATGGTAATGCTAGGCCACACACACACACACACACACACACACACACACACACACACACACACACACACACACACACACACACACACACACACACACACACACACACACACACACACACACACACACACACACACACACACACACACCTGATCACACACAGCTGGGCCCGTACATGCATTATGTCATGGTCATACCGTAATAAACCGTATTTAATTTTACACCCATGTTTACCTTTATTGCTAGCTGGCAACTTAAGTGGCTGTAGTTTTAATGCCAGGTGCTAAGGAGGAAGCTTATGTGACGTAAAAGAAAGTGTAGAAAGGAGGTTAGGATGGATGAACAAACACAGGATTTTTCTGTGTGAACCATTGACTTATTTTCACTTTTCACAAGTAAAACAAAATTACATTCCATACCTAGAGAAGAGGACATTCTGCTCATTTTCAGGCTCATAATGTATTTTGTGCCTCTACTGTGAAATGTGTACATGCTTTAATGTTTAAAAAGGTCTTTAGGTTTCTCATACTGCCTGTGCTGCAGCACCTCTTTTCACCATACAGCTCACCTTTTGGTTTAACTACTCACAACCTTTCTCCTCTGCCAAGTACATCATGTTTTCGGTTCTGTTAATTAGGTTTTTGTTTGTTTGTCAGCGTGATTAAGAATAACTACCAGCTCAAATGTACTCTTTATATCATGGGCCAAGAAAGAATCCATTCAATAGTGCCCTTCTAGTTAAAAATGCTACTGGTGATAGAGAGTAATAAACAGACTTTCCTTTGCCACTAGACAAAGAGACTGGGAACAGCTGGGTTAATCCAATATGGATAGCCATATATACAATTCTCAAGACTATATAAAGAACAAGGCAAGGTGTTCCAGAATTTCATTAGAGGAACATAATTGTTTAAGAGATCTGTCATACTGAAGCAGAATATCTGCTCTGATTAGTAATTCTGCCTCAGCTCTACCCCTATTAAAAAGTGCAGACTCATTACTCTCTGCAGGCTAATGATGTTTGGCTCATGTCTGCCTGCCCGGGAGGGACATCCTTTTTTAAATCCTTGTAGTTTCCTTCATTACCCTGCAACACATGTAAACAATCTGCTGCAGCTCACCCCCCAACCCCCGTGTGTCCAAGTCTATTTGGAAAGTGAATGAGAAACTCTGTGTAATGCTGAGAGCTTGTGATGACATGTGGCCTTAATCATGGTTGCTCCTTCGCTATGTGAGTGAAATAAAACGTGCTTAGAATGATTTTCAAGAGGTTGTTTATCTTTCACTCATGCTTCCTTTTCGCTTGTCTCATTGTCTGGCAGAGTGGGGTGTTTGTAATAGATGCACAATTATTTGCATTTGTTTTTCAGTGTTGGTTTTGGACGATTTTTGTGCCAGATTGCTGCGGTTTTTCCTTGAAATACTAATCCCGAAATAGACAAAACAATCATTTAGACTGTCACAAGAGAATACAGTATATTTGAAGCTCAATTGAAGCCATTTTCCTTATACGACATTTTCGAAATTGTCAATCTTGAACTGAAAACTACGGTGGCCGACGTATATTAGGAAAAACACGCTGCACTTTCGAAAATAATGAAAATATAAAAACACAAATGTGCCAAAACACATGCAGATGAAGAAATATCTTCACCATCTTGATGAAACATGCGCACCATTTATTAAAGCTCTGCTTAAACAAAATGCTGCAAATTCAAAACGCTGCAAGAAGCCTAAAACACAACAGAAAAGGGGACACTAAAATGCGAAAAAAGCTGGGACTGGATCGCTTGTTGACGTTATGGGATTGTCAAGATAACAAACTGTCACTGTTGGTAGAGTAAGTCTGTTTCATAATTGTAAATGTTGTGTGAGTATATTTGAAATTACTAGGTTAGCTACGTTAGCTAGCTTATAGCAGATCTGCAATAATATCAGAAGGAATAATGTGATCAAATTGTTCAAATTAGCCGATAAAACTTATATTTTAGGTACGTTTTCCAGTGACAGTGACAGCAGAGGCCTGTACTACGAAGCCGGATTTTCCTAACCTGGATATGTTTGAGTTAGCCGGTTGGCCCAATCCAAAACATACGCGCTCTGGCTAAACTGTACTACGACGCTGGTTATCAAGTGGATCGCTCAAGCCAGCCGTGTCCTATCTAGTTAGGTGCGCGTTCACATGAAAGGGGTGGTATTTGGAGCATTCGACCAATCTCAAACATGGACAAGCGCACTGACAGCGCAGCGTCATACTTCCTGAATGAAAAGTGAACTTTAATATTAGTCAAATATGAAGAAGTTAAACTTTAAACATCCATGTCTTAAACACTTTATCCAGGATAAAAGCCACATAGCTGCACCTGCAAGGTGAATACAGCTGGTAAAAGAAAAAGCGTTTGAATGCGTACATTAACAGGTTTATGATATCACTGCCCCGTTAAGACACGAGTGGATCTGACTTTAATTACATTTGACTCGAGTGTTTCGTCAACTTAATGTGTTGCTTAAAATAATACTTCTGCATACAGTATGTGACACTGTGAGTGTTGCACGGCGAGATACGGCTCAAGAAGCTGACTCAGATAAGGAAATATATGATATATTATGATGTGATATGATATGAATGATAATGGGACACATCGACGTCTGCACCGCGGACTGTACTTAATGTTACTCTGATCCGGTTACTTATGTCGTGGCAGATATTTAAGTAAGCTTTCTTAACGCTAATGTTATAATAGTCAGATTGCTCTGAAGATGGGAGGGGATATTCTATTAATTTTCACGTTCACACAGTCAGTTGATTTTTGCCGGCCGTCTTTCCTGCAACGGCAGTTTTTCTGTATCCTCTATCCTGTAATATGACTTGATAGCTTTAAACTCCGCACACGGAGCTCTGATTGGTCAGCAGGCGGTGCTTTCACTGAGTTGATCTCTTAGCCTGCAACCTAACCTCCTCCCGAGGAGGTTAGCCGCTCAGCATAAGTTACCATGGAGATCTAGCCCGCTAAAAAGAGAACCAGCGTCGTAGGACCGCAAAGCCCGAGTTTTCCCTGAAGTCAGCCGGCTAAGCGAAAATCCAGCTTCGTAGTACAGGCCTCTGGTCAGTGTTAGAATCCCAGAACGTCAACAAGCGCTCTGGTCCCAGCTGTGGTTTCACTTTTTATTGTCCCCGTTTCCATTGTGTTTGCAGCGTTTGATTCATGCAGCTATGTCGGTAAATGCTGCGCATGTTTCGTCAAGTTGGTGAAGTTGAATTTGCATGTGTTTTTGCCCATTTTTATATTTGCATCTTTTTCGAAAGTTCAGCGCTGTTTTGGGTCGTTGTAGTGCTTTTGCATGGGTCAGCCACCATACCAAACTCTGCAATAAGATATCCCCCGTAGAAGATTATTCACACCATCCTCTCTTTTGTGTTACTGTAAATGAAGCAACAATGACTCAGCAGACAAGATATGTAAAAGTGGGGCTTGTGCAACCATGATATCTGTCGTTATGGTGACCACAGACTTTGAAATTGTGTTTGTACGTTATTGAGACTTGTTGCCAACTTCAGCCGAGAGCGGGGCAAGCCTGGGGGGGTTAATCCATAATTTATCACCTCTGCTGAAGTTGGATGTGTTTTTGTTCCATACTGCCTGCTCATTTGTCAGTTCTAAGAACGTTAACGCATGTGCATTACAAAGCTGGAAAAATTGATGACAGGCTTTAGAGCTTTGGGGTGAATGGGTGTTGTGGTGCATGGATCACTGGTGATTAAAATACTTGGGGATGAGTTATGTAGAGGGTTTTTTCCGTGACAAAGAGTCTCAAAGGTTGGTGAGATAATATGGATGCACTGAAACGAAGAACAGATCTAGTTGGTTTAGCAATCATGTTGAGGAGTAAGGGATTAAATGTAACAGGATTATGTCATCAGCATACAAAAAAACGGTGTACTTTATATAAATGTAATCATATTGCTGTTACATTTTGTCTCTCCTCTCATGATGAACGTGTGAGACTTACTTTAGGACATTTCACTGCCTGAAAATACCATGAGTAGACCACACTGCGTTTCCTGTTGCCACTGTGCAAACCAAATTCATAGTCAGGAGAGTCAGTATTATCATGAGTTCAAAGATACAAGGAGCCTCCCTCATCCCTCTATGCTCCTCCTTCCTCCATTAAAGGACCCTCCATATCTGTCATCTTTATGGTTGAATGATGGAGCTGCAGTTACTGTAACTTATCTGTTACGATGATGGGGAATGGATTTAATAAACTCCCCAGTGTCCATTCTCCTTCTTCTTTCATGTCTCTGACTCAGTGATGTCTTTATCATCACTGTATTTTTCAACATTTATATGCTCCACACACTCCTCCTCTTCTTCCTCCTCCTCCAGTTTTCTCCCCCTCCTCTCTTCCGCTCTGTTGAGATCAAAGCGAGGCTCAAGGCTAGTGGACAGCGTGAAACCGTCTCCACTGTCCCATTACACACACTCATGTAATGTCTGGAACCTTTCAGGGATGTGCACAGTCACCTTTTTAACTGGAGTTTAATAGATTCACCTGTGGAGATTTATAAGACACATTAGAAATAAGGATCATTTATCAATATGGTGACAATTAAAATCAAAGGTGTCTCCTTGTTAAATCCTTGAGATGGCAGCCTTTGCAGACCATTTACATCCACGAAAACCTATATACGGTAACACACTACAGGAAAGGGAAAACCCCCAAAAGCATAATACGTCCTTGTAAACGTTTAAAACAACTACCTAACAAGTCATTGTTGACTTGGTTTGACACAGGAAACAAATGGGGTGAAAGATCTGTATTTCTTTGACCAATTCATCACCGGATGATTTGGTCTTTGATTAGAAATAATTTGCCAAAAACTAAAGCCATCCAGTACAACAAATATATTATATACAATTAAAGTCACATTTTAGATCATGCTTTCCTGACACAGAGGGCAACAGTTTTTGCATACAAGCTCTTATAAACAAACGACACGCCCCCGGCCAAGCATAACAAAGCAGGATGACAAAGTTAGCAACTAGCTTGTGCATACATTGGAGCATTTTAATGTTAAGTGAAAATTGGGGTTACAACTGAAGGCATTATTTCAAGGGAATACTCATGTTGCTCCAGTCTGCAGTATCATTCACTCAAACAACTGTTGAATGGACTGGGAAGACAGGATGGACTTTTAGTATTCAGGGAGCCGTTTGTAACGTCAACTCATTTTGTTGAACTTTTCCTCCCATCACAGCTGCATTTGCAGGCCTGCTGCACCTCCGTGAGCTGGACCTCTCCAACAATAGCCTCCACTACTTCCAGTACGGTGTCCTGGAGGACCTCTACTTCATACGGAAGCTGTCGTTGGACAACAACCCCTGGATCTGCGACTACAACATCCACTACCTGAACTACTGGCTCAAGCACCACCCCAACGTCTTCCACTCTGGCCTGATCTGCTCTGAGCCGCCGGAGTTCAGGGGATGGCGCGTCGAGAATTACGTCAAGACCTACAACAGTGAATGTCCCAAGGATAGACAAATTGGAGGGGGGGATACAGGACAGGGAGGACAAGGGGGGACAAACAATGAGGCAGTGGGGGAGACGGGTGAGGGGCAGGAGGAACGTCAGCCTCAGCCTCTGAAGGAGATGAAGCAAAAAGGGATTGAGATAATCAGGCTAAGTTAGAATGGGGGGTGATCGCGGACTGGTGGAGGTTATAGGGGTGTTTGATTAAAATGCAGTCTTTGGAGAGGCTAAATAGTTAATAATCAAAGGTAGACTCAGTGATTTGATGTTTAAACATGATGTGTAAAAGTACAATCTTGGGATAACATCCATTGTCTTGTTAGTAGTCAGCTTTTTCCATCTTATTTTAGGACATTTTCGACATTTCCTTTAACGATTATTAGTTGCTAAGTTTACCTTTAAACAAAAGTTAGGAGATGCTCTTTCAAACCAGTCTGTATCAGATCTAAAACTCCCAACCAGGACATCTCTTTGAATTTCCCACACAATGAACTGTAGGAGCTCTCCTTTTTATACTGTTACAATCATTTTAATAATGAGTTTAGGATATACTTTTTTTCTCTTTTTAAAAGAAAACCTTTTGTATTAATTAATGTACGGCATTGTCTACCTGTTTCTGGAAATAAAATTGGGTTTATTTTTTCTGAATATAAGTCTTATGGCCTGATATCAGACCTTAACATGATGATGGAAGATTGTTTGCATTTGACATGACAATAACTTACTCCTGAAACTGCCAACATATACAAAGATCTAACATGCACCCATGAAAATAATCTAGATAAAGGCGGGAAACAACGTCTCACTGATTATCGACTAGCGCCACCCAGTGTGCTGGAGACCAAAACACACCAGACAACTTTGTTTAATTTTGGAAGTCTGGAAGTCTGGAAGTAAAAGCAGTAATACCACGGTGTAGAAATACTCAAATCATAATTCGGAATAATACATCACTCTTTTAATGACCCAAACTGAAATTATAAAACCATATTATGTGTTGCTTGTGACTACACTTATTTCACTCATAACTTAATAAAAAAAAATCTTAAGGCAAATTATTGGAAAAAAATAACATTAGTCTTAATGAGTCCCAAATTCTGGATTGGTATATAAATCAGGCCTGCCAATTTGGCATCTGACACAACCACATAATCCTTCATGGATGTCCGCCTCTGTCACCTCAGCTATTTAAGCTTGACTTTAAGGTTGGCAGGAAGTAATTTTGGCAACGTTTACATTTAACGGTAATTTAAAAAGATTTCCTGTTTACTGGGCTGCATTTAATCGCAGTTAATTGTTTCTGAGTGCAGTCACAGATGCTTTAAATTAAATGTTATTTTATTTGCAATGAGCTTTGTGTTACAGCACACTGCCATCTAGTGTTTACTATTTAGTAGTACACAGGTTGAGTTAAAGAAGACATTCACAGCCTTTTATATTAATCCATGACAATGTAAGACATCATGATGTCACACATATTGATAATTCACAGTCTTTTGGCTCGCAGCAGCTTCTCCAGGACGTTTTCGTATGGAGCTCAGCAGCAGCAGAGGATCACATCTCGTCATACCGGCACCACAAGAGGTCACTTGGGGGAAATACTCAGAGTCATATATGCAGTTATTACATGTTATAGTCTATCCCGGATTTTTAGGATGCTTGGAATAGTCCGTTTGTTGATATCTGCATCAATATTGGTAGTGCAACCTTTAAAATCATTGGAATAACAATTAAACAATCCAAGTATAGCTGATATAAATAAGATTGGCTTGCTGTAACTTTACCCGCTGTTTCTTAATTCCCCATTGCTTAACATGCCAACTCTTTTCCTGTAGCATCAGCTGAACAATAATGGATGCCTAGGTAAGCTACAAAAAAAATAAGCAGAAATAATTTGTCCATAGTTATTAAAAACGTCTTGAATCCAAGGGTTCTTGGGGCCAGCCTTATTCCATCAATGCATCTGTTCTTCTCTCTCCATAAGTGTCCTTGCCCACTTCCCTGTCCTCTCCACGTTGTGATCAGCAACATGTCTTCTTCTCTGGTGGAGTGTGAGCAGTCATGATACCATTTATCGGCCTAGAGTTGGACCGGAGGAGGACTCGAGGCGTGTTGTTCCTCTCCGAGTCCTCCTGCTGGACATTGAGGCCGTTACGAGACAGCAGCTCTCTGGCCATCATGATGAACGCTTCTTCCACATTCTGACTCTCCTGGAAACAAAGAAGGAGATAGAGAAGTTGAGATAACAATTTTAACCAACTTATCATGTTACATGTATGTGTGCACTCGTTACCTTGGCTGATGTTTCCAGAGCAGCTAGTATTTCTTTCTCCTTTGACAGATTGCAGGCTTCCTCAAACTGAACCTGCCTTTCCTTCTCCAGGTCACATTTGTTACCTACATGGAGACAATCAGGGAGATGAGAGATACAAATACAATAAATCTAACCTTAAACACCCAATAGGAGTCTGTAGCAAGTCCTGTTAATGTTATTAACAATGTACCCAATTACTACAGTATGCTAAGGCTAACATTTCAACACACTTAAGTGGGCAAAACCCACTTAACAGGGTTGTAACATCATTTGTCTTAGCGCTTAGTACCTTTGTGTTAGCGCTCTCAAATTTTGACACAAAGGATCCTTATTTGAAACTATATATTGCAATGTTTCCATCTTCTCAAACAACATCACATAGTTCAATAAGAAAGAAAAAACTAAACTCAATAACTTTCACCGTATAACCATTCGATCCACTTACTTGATGCTGCCATATTTTTGTATTCATATTATTCACTTCACATACTAACACTCACCTATGAGAACCAGCACTACATTGTTTGCTCCATAGATCTCCACCTCTTTGATCCAGTGAGTCACAGAGTCAAAGGTCCCCTGTCGAGTGATGTCATAGGCGATGATGGCGCCGTGTGCGCTGCGATAGTAGCTCTGAGTGATCGTCCGAAACCTCTCTTGACCAGCCGTGTCCCACACCTGCATCTGTAACACACACACATGTTAACATCCCTTTAGGGGACCTTAGGCTACATTGACTGACAGTCTTTTTTTTTTTTAAACTACCCTAACCTTAATTACAACTCACATAACCCTTACTTTACCCTTAACCTAACCTTAACTTAAAATAAGTCTTCATTCTTAAATGTGACGATTAACGTGCATGTGTGCCCAAAAGAAAGGCGGGTCCCCACATTGTGATTGTGTATACATACGTATGTCCCCACAACAAGAGTAAAACATGCGTACACACACACACACCAAAAAAACAGTGTGTCAGATTATTTGTGTCCCTCGACAGAATATTCCCTGAGCATCTGACAGACCATGTTTACGCGGTTACAGCTGTCATAGCAACCCATCTGAGCTCTCTGGCACAGCCTTTGCAATGCCAGTGTTTATGGTTTCAACTGCCTACTTCTGCTTTTGAATCATAGCATCATTTGCATAATAAAAGCTGAATATGAACCTATAAAATACACTTTGGTATAACCTTCTTTGGATTGTTGGTGGGGGAGGGATGAAGTTAACACGGAAACAGAAACCTATCATTGTTTGAATTCATTTTAACCCTGAAATCTTTACTTTTACAACCTTATTGTGACCTTATGTTGTGATTCAAGACTGTTCTTCACCTTGTTTGTGACAAATTTACAGATAAACCTAAAGCAACAGATACAAAAAGGAAAAATGGTAGCAACTTTGATCATTCTAGGCACCCTAACCTACAGGAGTTGGCGGTGCCTGTATGTTCCCAATGACCAATGCAATCACTTTGCACACTAATGAGGAACTGACTGGTTCAAGACCAGAAATACTCTGGCAACATACCGACTTTTAAAGCACGCAAAACTGGTCGCTGTAAAATCATTTAGTTCCTTTTCAAACTTAATGACGGTTTAGAGAAGTCATTACAGGTTTATTTTTGTCTGCACAAAGCTTGAGCAGAGCTACCTGAAAAACCAGTCCTTCATATAAGCATCTGGTCTGACTGGTTTTTCTGTCCAACTGTAACCAAAGGACAACTCTCACTGTGGTGTCATTTATCCCCAAACCTGAAAAAAGTCCATCACATCCCACATGAGTTGCATTTTCTAGATCCTGCCATAGGCTTCTTTTCATTAAATATTGTTACCAAAACAATAGCCTGTACTCTGCTGTTATTGTCAGAGCCTGTTGGCTCTACAACACCCATGATAAGGATCAAGGCATTTAGCCACCATTACTGGAGCATAATCAGGGTTGGTGCAGTGTTGACCTTGTTAAATGTAAGACTCTTTATCCCATATAGAATGAAATGTAATACTGGTATCATACAGGGGTCATACAGGGACAAAGTTTGAATTACAGTAGGGATGACATGGCCTAGAAATACCTATTAGTGTATCACATTATTTGTCATACAATGTGTGTCCCTAAACACACCACATTCTGTTTAGTACTAACCTTAACTTTCTTCCCCTCGATATCCACGGTCCGTACGGTGAAATCCACTCCAATGGTGTTCTGCTGTCTCTCTGAGAAGATCCCAGACTTAAAATTCTGAACCAAGCAGGTCTTCCCTACATTAGAGTCTCCAATCAGGATGATCTTAAACAGGAAGTCAAAGTACTCATCATGTTCAGGTCCTGGGGTCTCCATTGTGGAGGTACAGTAGAGTATTTAACTGTGGATGTGCTCGCTCCTATAGACCACTTGGAAGGTGAAGAGGTGATGGGTTATCGTTATCAATTTCTGTTAAAAAGTGTGACCCAAAAAAATGTTACTCCACCGTTTAGTTTAGTTACATTATTCCACGTGTAGCCTGTAAAACCAGTTTTAAGTTTGTTGCTGTCCATAGGTTAATGATAATCCATTTACCACACCAGTAAGTTAAAAATTAATTGTAAGGCACACAAACAGCAATCTGGAAGCCTCAAATGGGCCTGTTTCAAAGTGGCTAACAATTAAAAAGTGCTTTCTTTATAATCCTGCATTCTCTGTGTCTTGTTTCTCCAGTAATTCAGTTTCTCTCCCCCCCCTCTCATGAGCTCTCTCAGCAGGACAACACTGCCTCAGTCCCTGCTGCTCCTCTCAGGTGTTGACCCACTTTGTGGCCCGCAGGAAAATAAACCACACGTACATATCCTTTTTCTTTCTGGTTAGTTGTCTGTCACAGGTACTTCCTTTTAAATTAAAACAGTTATATCCTTGTCTGTGATGCAGGTTCCTGTCAGTCCACCTGCTGTTCTGTCACACGTGTCAGTCCTTTTTCTCTTCCTGTCATCAGTATTTCCAGTTCTTACTCCCTTTTAGCCTCCTGCGTCTCTCACTCTCACTCTCTCTCGACAATGCACCTGTGGAAACAAAAGGAGGAACCCGCCTTACCTGTTCCTGGAGTGTAGCCCAGCCCCATTAGCACTGTGGGATCATGGGAAATGCAGTCATTCAGCCAATTAGAATGCATGAACACACTTATAAACACATTTTGGGATGTTTTGATGCTTTGAGAGAACGAGAAAATTAAGTATGTCAATTCTAACAATGCCTAGCTTACATTATGTTGTTATTGTGAGAGACATCCTGGGTGAATCTAAATGAATAAGCAATGGATAAAAGAACTGGGCCTCCCACTGTAATAGGGGCTGTATAAACCAACCAATAGATTTTAAATTAAGTACCAAATGAGGTCACTGAGGTAATGATCTCTGTATTTTTCATATCTTTAAATGATATGACGTCTAATATGTTCATGATAGATGTATGGGTCAATCAAACCTCATAGGCACAATAATACATTTAAAAATGTATACAAATATATGTAAAAACCAGGAAAGGTGGTCAAAATGGCAAGAAAATAAATTCAGCATAGTTTGTGTTTAATGATGTAGGGCACATCTGTCAACACTATATGTGAGTCAGTGAGTCAAGTACTTTTAGATGGGATTTAAACAGGAAGGTATTTTTGGATTCTGGTCAATATGTTTGGAGGATAAGTATTTTTTGTACGTTTTTATAAAGCAGAAACTCATTGCCAGGCTTGGGGATTAATGGAAAACATGTGATGGTATTACGTAATCAGGACACAAAAAAGGGAACTGCATCCCTTAAAGTTACATTGAAATATATAAACTTATATCTGATACACTAACTTTTATTTTGTAGTCCACTGCCTGGAACAGGTTTACTTACTGTAGCATATCATTATACATTGTTTTAGTAAAAATGTCATTTCATTCTTTGTTTTAAAATATCTTCTTTATTAATGCAGAAAGAGGAAACTAAAATACAGTGATATGCAAGATATTTTTTTTATCTTGTGTTTATTTGCATTGCATTTCAAATTGAGGTCACCAATATATAGGATAAGATATACTTTATTGATCCCAAATTGGACATTTTTTCGTGACAGCAGCATGTAATACAAGGCAATGCACATACTTAGAAATTAAAAAGAGTAGAAAATAAACAGATATAATATATTGACATCTCAAAATAGAAAAAGAAAAGTAAAAAATATACAAGTTGACCGTGAAAGATACAACAAAAATGTAAACTATCTGACAAATAAACACTATTGAAGGGCCAAATTACAGCTAACACTATACAAGAGTAAAATATTATTTACATTAAGTGTGCAATGATTGGCATATTAAATTAAATATAAATTAAAAAAATGTAAAACTGATTAGATTTTTTTAATTACAAGTAATTGTAATGGAATTTATGTTTAAAGTAACCCTCCCAATCCCAACCCTGCCTATTGCATATCATTCGTTCATATATGTTTTAAGTAATCGTTAAAACAACATCATTCCTGGGCGTTTAAACACCTCGATTCCGATATTTCCGACTGCACTTGAAAGCGTCACAGACCCCTCACCCAGTGCATCACAGTGACGTCCTGTGCGGATAGACAGATAGATGCCCTTACAGTTGCAATAATAGATCCATAGCAATAATATTTTCTGGATGTGAAAAGGGCGTCTGGAGCCTGGGAGAATCAGCAGCATGCAGCGGAGCGCCGTGTTCGTGATGGCGGATAAAACGAGCCTGAAAAGGCCGTTTATTTTCGCAAACGCTGTGCATATGGTAGGTACTTCTCACCGCTTTGCATGGGATTTAAGCTGAGAGGCCTGATTTCCTTATGTGGGTTATTTCTCTGATTAAATGTTTGTTATGTGCTGCGATTTGACCCAGATCAGCATAAGCAGAATAACACTGTCTGTCTCACAACTGCAGCGAAGCCCATCCATCAACATTAGTGTGTGCAATTCATGCAGTAGATTTAATGAAGGAATGTTATACAAATAAAGTGATGAGGAATTTATCATAACTGGTAGTTGTATGAAGAAGACGCCATAGTGGTTATACATGATTTATGATTTATGCATTAGAATAATAATCCTCTGTAATCTCCACCCCAAATCTGTCAGTCTTTATAAATGCTACTGTTTACAATGTGCTGTCTCAGCTGTGAGTATGCAGTCATGTGCATTCAAGAATATTTGTTTATATAACTAAATGTAATATGACAAGACAGACTTAATGTGCTTCCAAAAAAAAACTAAAAGCATGACGTATTGATACTATAATAATAATAAATAAGCAAAAAAAGGATCAGGACGTTTTAAAATGAATGTGCATTGAAGCAATTTCTTATATAACACATTTCATATGACAGATCTAGACTCAATGTGGATTCAAATTTAAAACAAAAACGATGAAACAAACATATTAAAATATTAAAAGGGAAGGTATTATTATTTTTTTTTAAATAAAAGGTAAGATTAGAACTATTTTTTTACTATTGTATTTTGTCACTTTCTTTGTGTGTATCCTAATTTGAGTGTGTGTTTATCGTGGATAGCCTTCAATATAACTTTAAAATTCAGTTTATATGATTAAATAATATTAAAACATTTCAGGTGATACTTTTCTAATGGTATTTTGATTATAAAACCAAAATGCATATTCTCTTTTTTTCCTTATCACCATCTATGCTTTTCATGTCTTGTGCACTTCAAAATCTTCACACATTGTTATCCCCCTCTCCACAGGCGCTGTGCTTCTTCATGCTGACGATGACAGTAGCTTGGCATAGAGACCTCCTTCTGACTGGCAAAGTAAGACAGACTTCAGGTTACCTTCTGAGCGGATGAAAATACTCCCGAAGCAGATAACATGATTTATCAAAAGCAGGAATACCTCTCGTCCTGTCAGGCTTCAAAAGGAGCACAATAGTTCCCGTGTTATCCAAGGACAATCAGTGGATTATTTATGCATGGCGTTACTTAGTGGTCCATCAATATTGCCTGCACACAACACATCAGCGTCTTTCTATATATTGTCTCCTCACCGTGAGGCCTGAGTTCAAGCCTGTTGGCAAGCATCTGCCCGGTGAAGTGTCCTTGGGCAGGACAGTGAATTATCTTCAGGTGCTAGCTGACCCTGACCTTTGACTTCTTTTGTAGCCAGGCTAGCTTGGGAACACATCTGTGTCAACAAAATAATATCAACGTTAGTGGGACCAGTTTGTAGGATTTAAGGGGATGTATTGGCAGATTTGGAATATGCAGTATTATATTTCCATAATGTTAAATTCACTATATCATCTATCGTGTCACGAAACAATTATCTTAAAATTCCTGTGAGTTAATATCATTTCAAAGTCCCACAGTATTGGCACTATGTTTATGCCTAATTTAGTCAATGTTATTTTGAGTGTTGAAGCAGCTAGAAAGCATATAGCCTGATTGTTCCAAACTCCCTTCAGAAAACAAGGATTTTAATCGTTTTTTTGCATTTAGTCTTGCGTACAGATCTTATTATGAATGAAATCAAACATCTTACAAATAGGCACCATGTTGTTGTTAATTCGGCATCATTTTAAATTTGTTTACTGCAATTAAATCCGTTTTTTGGGATCAAACCAATGCAGTAAACCAGATAAATTCAGCTGTGTGCAGGATTGCGAAAAAACACAAATGATCCTGTGATAAAACTTTGTGAATAACACAAGAACATATATTGTATCTGCTATTTGGAAAGGGAAGGGTGAGCGGAGGGGTGCTCAGTTAATTGCAGTCTGCAATATCACCACTAGATATTGTGGAGGAAACTTCTGTGTAGCAATGCATGGAGTCACCGACTCAGGAAGGAGACACGGTGAGAGTTGGAGCTTTGATGTCAAACACTGATGGGTTTATTCAGAGTATTCGGCCGGAGGATTCACATCACAAATCAAAGAGTCAGAGGTTCCGACTTCACGGTAGAGTTGCCACGTCAATTCTGAAGAGCCTCTCTCTATGCTAGCCCTTTTAACTGGTTCACAGAGAGAAATCAACATCTCTGAAGGAGTAGACTAAACAGCTGGGAACACTGAGCCACCTGCGTCCGACACTCATGGCCTCAAAGATTTCACATCTTAGAGTCCACAAACACCGATAAAGAAGTGCCTCAGTGTTCTCACAACAATTACCCTTCGTGCCAGACAAGTTGACCGGTCACAAACTGGTAACAACAACACATATGGCACCAAGGCCTTTCCTTAAAGGAGATAACAGACGTCAGAGTAGATCATAAAACGTCACAGAGCAAAAGGTTAGATATCTAGAAGAATTATTCCTTAACAGATATCACTAAATCATACACAATGGACCTTTGTGATGCATTAAATGATAATTTTTGCCATTTAATGTATCCCTTTAACGCCTACGCTTTCTTTCTCCGCAGCTGGTGTCAAATGTTTCCGTGGTGATAATGTACGTGGTGGAGATCGGCTGTCTGCTGCTCTCAGTGCTCGGTGTGATCGGAGCCTGTAAAGGGAAGAGATGGTGTTTAATTCTGGTAAAAACCTGCTTCGTATACTATCACTGTGTTTATACAATTTTTTCTATTTACTTGTAGTAGGACAATGTATACACATGTCTCACATTTTTTTCTGAAAATAGCGTTCTGGTTGACTTACTATTTGTTGTTTTTGTGTGTGCAGTATGCAACTGGATTGGCAGCAGCCAGTCAAACGATTATTGTGAGAACAGCGCTAAGCTACCAAGATGTGTATGAGGTATGTTACTACGGTATACATTTATATTTTTACAACATTTATTGTAATCCTATAGTATTAAAAACTTCAACAACAGTATGTCTTGGTATCTAAAGAACCGTTTTCAATGTGATTCCTCCTTCCTCAGAAACGCGTGGTCCGTGAAGAGGCCAAGTTATTGTCCATGATGCCACTCAGTTCAACCAACAAAGCCAACAGGACCCTGCTGTACAGTATTCAACAAGAAGTAAGGAGCAATTTAAATGATTATTTTAACCTAATGTTCATTGGGCCTAGTTTAATGATATACAATCCAAAACATTGCTCTTGTGCAGTGGATGTTGAAAAAAACAAAAAAACTTCTAGGGAACTAAATCTCTCTTTCTGATGTCCTCAGAAAGTGCAAGTCACACCATATATAAAAATAAGTGTGTCCAGATGACTCAGAGAACGCTCCCCATGGGGAGTTGAGGGTGTGTTGTGCTTCAGGCCGAGGCACACCGCCTCAGCCTGAAGCACAACACACCCTCAGCTAAATCAGATTCACACAAGACTGTGTGCCATACAGGTTCCTTTATCAAGACCCGCCCTGTGTAGCTGCTTGAGGTTAGGCCTTGTCCTCACGTTGTAAGGTCAGGAATACCTATTGGTCTGGAAATAGGACTTTAACAAATCTGGTTACAGGTACCTCGTGCGAGCATTGATTTCTGGCCAATCCTATCATTTGAATGCTATGCAGGGCGGGTCTTGCCAAAAAAAGTAATGGGATTAAAAGAGCCGTATCATTAGTGTGATTAAATGTACAGTATTGGGTATTTTGTTCTGGTTTACGTGTTTCGGATTAACTTTTTGTGTGTGTGTGTGTGTGTGTGTGTGTGTGTGTGTGTGTGTGTGTGTGTGTGTGTGTGTGTGTGTGTGTGTGTGTGTGTGTGTGTGTGTGTGTGTGTGTGTGTGTGTGTGTGTGTGTGTGTGTGTGTGTGTGTGTGTGTGGTGTGTGTGTGTGTGTGTGTGTGTGTGTGTGTGTGTGTGTGTGTGTGTGTGTGTGTGTGTGTGTGTGTGTGTGTGTGTGTGTTGTGTGTGTGTGTGTGTGGTGTGTGTGTGTGTGTGTGTGTGTGTGTGTGTGTGTGTGTGTGTGTGTGTGTGTGTGTGTGTGTGTGTGGCCTCCAGTTTGAGTGCTGTGGTCTTATTGAAGGCTACAAAGACTGGGGCCCTACCATCCCTGCCTCCTGTAACTGTCACTATCCAGGAAAATGTGTAAGTATCTCCCTTAATGTACGCAGTATATGGACATTGAAGATGGCTCTTTCTGCTCCTGTAGCCTCAGATTTGTTTCTTAGTCCAGTCAGATACGACTAATGTAACGGGGTTATTCTCTCCTTTCCAGATTCGACTACGAGGCATCGCCACACTCGGGGCTCCAAAGAACCAGTATGTTTATCAAAAGGTAAAAGACTTCTTATTTTCTCACTGATTTTATATCTAAATTAATTTGGAATCACAGCCATGAATCACAGTGGCTGAGGACTTCTCTTTTTAAATCACTGTGTGCTTGTTGGAGGGGTCCCAGAGGCCAATGTTTAACATTTTGCATAAGTAGATGTAATCTGACACGCTGGAAGTATACACCACCAGTATAACCAGATCAATACGTTCTTAATTCACATTGTAACCCCACCTGTTTTTATTTTTCAGCCTTGCATACCCGTTTATGTTTCTGAACTGAAGCTCGCATTCTCGTTGGCGATGGCTGTACAATTTGGAAGTGGAGTATTTTGGGTATGTGTTCTTTGATTTTACATTTAAAGGCAAATCATTTGTATGAGAAAACAGAAAGTAGGTAATAAAGGTAGAAATCAATCAATTATCTTTTGATTTTTTGATTTAGTTGATTGTACTTTTATTAATGATCTACTGTTACAAAGGCTCTTGGGCCGTCACACTACACATCTTATATCATTCTTATATTAATTATAAACACATGTGTTAATTATATAGACAATATATATACATTTATTTTATCCACTTATTCTTTGTCAGTTTTTATTTAACCTCATCACTACAAAAAAGTAATTTTCCCTTTTTAAATTAGCTTATTTTTTAAACTGTTCCAAAATGAAAAAAATGTTTAACAGGAATATAATAAATATATAATAATATATATAATATTTATTATTATTTCATATCAATGGGAAATGTTTGTGGGGGGAAATGGGAGAAATTCCCCATATATGTTGAATAATTGACTTGATTTCATGAAAAAATACATACAAATATACAATTACTACGATGAAGTTGACATATTAGAGTCCAGATGATAGTTTTAGTCAGAAAAGGAATCAGATGGCAGCCATTAACATAAACTTGACTGAGATTTGATTTTTAAATTGATTGTAATATTATAGTTGTCTGTCTTCATAATTGTTGGTGTGTGTACCTGCAAAGGCTCTGCAGATGGAAATAAGCTAACAGCCAAATCCTGCATAAATAATGTCTTCTCTTTGAGATAAATATATTCAATGCATGGTCCCTGTTTAATAAAGTCATTATAATAACACCACCTCATGCTGGTTCCTGTGTATCCCTCCCAGGTGGTGTTACTGGTGATGAGCATCAAGCTGATGGGGCAGATTCGGAGGAAACAGGAGTTCATGGCTCTTCTCCAGTCCAACAGATATGTCCCCGGGGCCTTCTAGTCACCTCGTATGTTTTGATACACACCTCAAACTATAATCAAGCATACCTAATTTGTATTTGCACATACATATAACACAATACGCTGTATACCATATCCTAGCTGTGCTATAGGCAACATATGTTGACATTAAAATGTTCTGTTAATGCATGTGACTGATATTGAAAATTAACCAACATGCAATTATTTGGCCTTACTGCTGTAAAAACATTGCAATTTAATGAAGTATTTAATAATCAGCACATTTTCAAAAGCTTTTGTCCTATCTCTGAAGTTATTAATTGAAATGAATATCTTACCAAGCATTAACCAGCCATTTGTTTTCTTTGAGTAGCTGGAGTTGACCACAGCGTTTTTCATGAACAGTAAGTGACGTCTTATCTGGATAATAATGAGATGATATTTACCTCCATTTCCTTCATACCTGGATACATTTCGGAGGACTGATAATAATCGAATTGCATCTACAGAACCTACAACTTAATCAATTATTAGGTTTAATTCAACACCTGGACCAACTATTTAAATATTCATAGTAGTCTTTACATTACATTATTAGTCTTTACATTACATTACATTTCCAGCATTAGAGCAAGTAATAATCTTTGAACAAATTATAATATTAATAACCCTTATGTAGCACCTTTCTTAAACAGTGTTTACAAAGTGCTTTGATTGAAATATAATCATTTATTTATTATCAAGCAATGTATTTTCTTGGGTGAATAATCAGGTTAGACAATGCAATGAGCATCAGCTCACGGAATGTCTCGATGCCTTGTTATGCACAATGTATATTTGACTCTTCATCCCTCCATTTAGTTGTTTCTTAAAGCACATTAAGTCGGGTGTATTGTACGGTGGCCGACAGATGCAAACGCGCTTCAACAGTCCAAAATATTTACCATTAGGAAAAACGCACTGCAGCTTCAGAAACGAAATATAGAAAGACAAATGTGTCAAAATACATGAAAAATCAAGAACCATCTTTACAAACTCAAAAAAAACATGCACAGCATTTACTAAAAGCCCTACATAAACGAAGCACTGCAAATACAAAACGCTACAGATTTGGCAAATTAAAAGGGGGGACACTAATAAGTGATGCACACAGCTGGGACTGGAGCGCTTGTTGACGTTCGGGGATTATAAATGTACGTTTTAGTTGTTTGCATGATTCTTTCCGATATTACTAGGTAAGCTATATTACAGCTGCTCAGTCAGCAATAATATCTGAAGGAATCAAGCGATCACATTGTTTAAATAAGCCAATAAAACTCACATTTTATGTAACTTAAAGGTAGGGTAGGTAAGTTTGGAGAAACCGGCTCGAGATCGCTAGAATTTGAAAATACACAACCGGAGAAAATCTGCCACTTCCTTATAGAGCCCCTCCTCCAACACACACGAATGCGCACATGACCAATGAGGGCACGAGATAAGTTTGTGCACAGATGGAAGGCTGACAGGCAGGTAGGCCATCCAGTTATTTTAGCCGGGCCGGCTAAAATGATTGGTCGTGCTTTTACAGTACTACGGCTTCCACAGATGACATTTTTTTATAGATTTTTTGTCAAAGCCCTTAAGATATTCATTGCTATCGGGATGTTAAGAGCATTCCATGGATTATAACAGAAAGTGTATCTCGAGCCGGTTTCTGAAACTTACCTACCCTACAGTACCTTTAATGACAACAGTGACAGTTGACCTACTTTATAATCTCCGAACGTCAACAAGCGCTCCGGTCCCAGCTGTGTGTGCATCACTTTTTAGTGTCCCCATGTTTTGTTTTGAGTTCCTTGCAGCATTTTTTATTTGCAGCGTTTTGTTTATGTAGCACTTTTTAGGGCACTTTTTAGGGCCCACTTAAGAATCTAAATTTTTTTCGTGGCCCACATTCAACCATATGCAATACGGAGGCTAAATAAAGTTCTGATTGGTCAATTCAGAACATGTGACACGTTGTTAATCCAGTAGTACAGCTCGCTGTCAAAGACTGTAATGACCGTTGCTAAGGAGGATCAAGAAAGAGAAAGGAAAGGAGGTTAAAAAAAATAAAAAATCTTAATAATGAAAATGTTTCCACATAATGTTTTGCAAATTATTTGGCGGCCCACAGGTTGGGAACCGCTGGTCTAGCATGTTTCGTCAACTTGGTGAATATCTTCTAAATGTTGCGCATGTGTTGTCAAGTTGGTAAAGATGATTCTTCATTTGCATGTGTTTTGGCACATTTGTGTTTTTATATTTCTTTCTGAAGCTGCAGCTCTTTTCTCCGAATGAAAGTGTTTTGGGTCGTTAGAGCGTGTTCGCACCTGTCGGCCATCGTAGAATCACCCCCTAAGAGGAAAATGGATTCTGTTTGGTTGCACATTCAGTAGACATGCAGTAAATCCTCAATTTTTTGCACCCAAAATATGATTTGTTTGGCGAGGCCGCTGCAGAAAGGTTGTGAGAGGCTCTTGTAAGAAAAACGCATCACCAAGATTCTTGTGTCCCAACTGATGCCGCTCTCACCGAAGAAGCCTTTACGCCACATCACTCCTAACATGACTGCATGAGCTGCCTGCGGTGGATATGTCATCATTGAATAAATAAACTGTCGAATAATTTTCCTCTGAAACAGCAGATCCAATGTCTACCTGTGCACTTTAACCATAATGCCTAATATCAGTATGTTCTTGCAAAGTATGGTATTTTTTATTTCTGTCATAAACTGTTTTTTTTTCTTATTTTGTTTTATTTATGGAATGAACTCATGTAATATATTTTGTAAATAGCAGGAATAAAATATGTGATTCTTGACGTTTTTATTTCAAAAATCTTTCTTCAAGCTGAAAACGTACATTTAGACACAAGTGCTGTATAGTTTTGTGGTACTTGTGCTTCCATATTATGCTATTTTAGACCAAAATATTGTACTTTTTACTCAAATGTTCTTTATTGAGCATTTTGATATGGAATCTTTGCTAATTCTACAATCAATGATCAGTTTATACAAGGAAAACACAGTACTGTAGGTGGGTTAATTTGTCTCCCAAAAATGGAAGGTTGGATACATTTGATATCATCTGTGAGTCTACTAAGATGATCTCAGCATTACATGTTTTTATTTTAAAGGGGACCTATCATGCAAAATGCACTTTTGTACGTCTTTTATACATGAATGTGTGTCCCCGGTGTTCCAGGGAACTCACCAAGTGTCAGAAAACACAACCCTCTCTATTTTCCTCCATACCCAAATCTCTAAAACAGGGGCTGCAACGGATCTGATAAAAACTGATCCATATTTGAACACTGTCCTGACGTCAGGACAGTGGCGCTACGGCTATTGGGCCAACTCCACCAATCAGGAGGAGACAGCCACGGCCATTGCCGTCCGAAAGCGCTGGAGACGCTGTAGTACATATGCTAGGCCTGTAGGTGGTGCTGTTCTCACTGAATCTGCCCTTGCAAAAACAGAGCTAAAAAATGTCAAATTGAGCAAAATGAGGCATGGCTAAAATGCATGATCTGTTTGGTATTTTGAAAAAGAAAAAAAGTATAAATATGCCTTATATAGGTATGGTCCTACACTATATTATTCAAATATAGCATGATAGGTCCACTTTAAGTTATTCATCCTTTCATCTTAAAACAGAAAATGGCTATTGATCCCTTTCGCTGACAATACATTACAAAATGCCCTGTGCTGTACCAGGTATAATGGTTTCAAAGGCAAAATAATACATATACAACATGCAATAAACTTGTTTAAAGCAAATTATCAAACAAAAAAAACGAGGTAATCTTTATCAATCCCAGCAGGTGTAATCTGCACCGTATCCCGGGATGTTGACGTTTCTTGCCTCTGGACTGTAGACGACAGCAGGAACCTTGTTTTTCAGCTGACACAAGATGAGAATACACAACACGGTGGAAAAGATCTGCAAGACGGAGAAAAAAGAGACAGCTCTATGTTCAAATGTTAAAAAGCTCTAGAACAGCTTCTAAACAACATTGGGGTGAAATTGTTTTGTAGGTTTCGGAGATCAAAAATAAAATATGAACATTTTTAGTTTCATAACATCTGGGCAAGCAAAGTCAATATGATAAATAGCCCCTAAAAAGCTGCTTCATAGGACAATATGTTAATAAACAAAGAACGTAGCGAAGTTAAATGTAGGTGGTGTATATTTATTATAAATGCATACAGATGGTTATACATACCAAGGAAACTCCGATTCCCATCACGAAGCCTATTGAAATATTTATTTGCATCATGACTCTTTCCATAATGTATGAACGGCATGGCTGAAACAGCAGAGCAGATCAATCAGTACGTTGCTTCATAATATAGTAAACGGAAAAAAACGTTATAGACAACAGAACTAATCTTTTGTGTAAATATCTTACGTTTTTCCCCACAAAATTAGCACATTAGTGTATTTTATTTGTTTTGTTTTTGAAAGTGTGGCACGTTTCTCCCAATGGAAGTGTTTTGGGCCGTTGTAGCGTGTTTGATTGTGTGGGTCTCCATAGCTATATTCCAAAACAGTGTGAAACTTTTATAACAACTTGAAAAATGTCTTTTACAATGTGCAAACATTTTAAATGTTTCATCTTGATTTTAAAAGTGGTCTTGTGAAATTCTACAATTTAGCTATTGTGGCATACTGCATCCTCACATTTCCATATATTCTGTCTCTTTAAATGGAGACAAGCTTTTTCTTGCATTGTATTTGTAATGGTGATTAAATGGCGACACCCATCAACACATTATCAGTTTTCAACCTGTAAATGTAAAAGTTATCATTTGAATACAAATATTTGTATTACCTCCTGATAAATCTTGATGGGCTTGTCATCGTCGTTGTACTCAAACAGACTGCTGTTTCTAGGAGCCGCCACCTACAATACAAAGACACAGAGGAGGGAGAAGTACTCAGATGCTGTACTTCAGTAAAAGTACAAGTCCCAGAGTGTAGGAATACTCTGTTACAGTAAAAGTCCTGCAATCAGAATGTTACTTAAGTAAAAGTAGAAAAGTATTAGCATCAAAATATAGTTAAAGTAGCGACAGTAAAAGTAGTCATTGCGCAGATTGGTCCATTTCAGAATAATATATATGATATGTTTTATAATGATTGATCATTAAAGTGTTCTCAAAGCTGGTAAAGGTGCAGCTAGTTTGAATGACTTTGTATACTGCAGGGTACAGTAGCTTGTGAATTTACTCCAGGTGGAACTAAAGTCTGATTTAACACTTGATTATATTTCACATCATTCATCCACATCTGTAAAGTAACTGAAGGTATCAGTGGCGTAACAAGGTTGTGATTGGCCCCGGTGCAAATATTGTTTTGGAGCTTCAACATGGAGCTTCCCCAGTTGATAGCTTCGGCTATATTGAGACATTTTAGTATCAAAGCACCTCTTTTCACCCTCTGTCTGAAACCAGAGCCCAGTCTGCTCTGATTGGTTAGCTGTCCGACTCTGTTGTGATTGGTCAACCGCTTAGAGATGTCCCGCCCCTTAGATGGGGAGGGCCTGCCTCCCCCTCTCTGCCTGTGTATACATACAACAGTGCTGTGATAACTTGACTACACTAAAGCTTACATCTCTGTGAAGCCTATACTGTGGATTTCTATCATAGGAGAACTTTAGGTTACATATATTGGCCATTAACAGCAACAAAATGGGGGTTGAAATGGAGTTTCATTTTACGGTTTGTAAAAGCAAGGTATTCCGTGAAATATTACTCAATACAACTTGTCGAGCCATTTTATGGGTGTTCATGTCAGTTTATTTAATTTATACTTACAGTGCTATACTATTTTTGAACACTTGGTAGCGGGGGTTAGCTGCACTGGGTGTATAAAAGGGGTCATAGGCGACCAGAAGAGCAAGGACACAGGAGGAAGAGCACACCGATTCAACCAGCCCGGCAGATGCTCTGATACAACCATTGAATGAATAATTAAACCTTGGTAATGTCAACGATCAATAAACATCATTCTAAACTGCACTCAAGACCGGAAATCATCTGTTGTGTCTGCGTCTGGATCACTCCATCTCCTGTGAAGTAAAGGCAAAAATAATATAGGACATTGGAACAACGAAATTGCCATTACACAACTGTTATCAGATGCTTAAATCAAGTTGGTTATATAAAATATATTGTTTTCAATGCCATGAAAAGTCTTGAGTCAAGGGTTATGAGCGACGATTACCATTGATATACAGTGATATATTACTTTTGAAAAAGACAAAGGAGGAAGTGGAAGGAAAGGGTTATGAAAGACACGGAGCAGTATGGCTTTCTATGGCCAAGTTGGTTGTTTCTTTGCATCCATAACACATCTTTACTGTGAGCTGCAATGTCACTGGTTTTGAAGAGGTGGGGCTCATTTAGAAAAAGGGGGAGTGTGTTGAAGAGAAATTCCCTTTGGAAGGAACTTTGGGATTTTAGCCTTTGCAGACCATTAGCATGCACCAAAACCTATGTAATACACTACAGGAAAGGGAAAACCCCATAAAGCAGAATATGCAGCCATAAATGGGTCTTCACACTCACACATGGATTAGTGGACTCTTCAGTGCAGAGGCAGGAGTCTGGGATGTTGTCGCCCCAATCCTGGTAGCCCTGATCCAGCCCACAGCACTCAAACTAAGAAGGAATGACAAAAAGGCGGGTCACTGCAATTAACCAGAACATCAGCTTTATCTATGTTCAACTGGAAGACTTTTTGTGTTAACCAATGTCATTCGAAAAGCTCCACAGCAAGTTAAAAGGTCACCTATTATGCAAAACCCACTTTTTCTTGTATGCATCAACATGTGTCCTCTCTGTGGAAAGAGATTCTGAAAGTTTCAGGAAAAAAGATTCTCTCACTTTTTGTCCTGATCCATTTATATAAAAACCTGTCTGAAAATGAGCTGATCAGATTTTGGCATCTTTATGATGTCATAACGATCTTTTGGCTTGTGTAACCATTAGCCAATCACCAACCAAGGTAACCCCCCTCCACCTTATCACCTGAATCTCCTCCTAGAGCACCATTGTGTTCTTTTTAACCAAATAGCTCTCAGAGGGGCGTGGGGAGGGGCTCCTTATTTTCATCTAAAGTAACAGACAGAGAATCAGCACTTTTGAAACAGGGCTGAAACAGAGGGGATTATGGGATGCTGCAATGATCTGTTTGGTATTTGGAGCCAAACACTTCAGAGACATGTTCTGTATATATCTGAGACCTATAATATATTGATGAAAAACAGTATAATAGGGGACCTTTAAAGTTTGCTCAATGTATCAAACGAGCAATGATTCTTTATATCAGTTTTCACATCCATATAGGCAGACATTGTCTACTTCCTCAAGCACTTGGAACTGCTTTTGTATGAGACCATAAAATAAGAACCAAACAAAATGCATACACAAACTGGCACACACACACAAGATTACTTACAATTGTATGTATAGAACTGAAGGCCTTTATATCAGTCTCACTCGTATTATTCAGCGGAAGCAAACTGAGGAGCTCCATCTTAGTGTTTTCAACCAACTGGACAACAAAACAAAGCAATATATATAAATTAGACAACTCGCAATTTCAATTACACTAGTTTTTTATGTTTTGGGCCATTATAGTGCATTTTCACCTGTCTGCCACCATAGTTGTTACCCTCTACTGCTATAGAGAGGCGAAGTTCCTCCCTTTCCGGGGGACCTTGGACCTTATTTCGGAAAAATTATGTATTGAAGTCAATGGGGAGAGAAAGATTATCTTTCGATTCCGTTTGAATTGTGCCACGAATTACACATGTTTGTCAATTTAAAAGATAATCTTGCAAGTCAAAAAAATTAAAATGTGTCGTAAAACTGTGAAGTAACACTTTTTTTTGTGTGAAACCGCTCAATGAACTACATCTCCCGTCTCGCAGCACACACCAAGACGGCCGTCACGTTGGCACATTTCACCTCTTTCTTTCAGAATGAGGCGAAAAGTATTAAACGAGGTGAAAATCACTCCAAGTCTGGGCATGTTGAGAGCTGTACATACACACAAGGGGAGAGAGTCGGTTCCGTAAGAGCTAGCATGCGGGACCGGGATTCTGGGATTTGTAGTCTTTCTAGTTGGGTATTTTTCATAGTCTTATATTTCAACAGTTTTACGACAAACTGTGACTTTTTTTACATTATTTTTTAAGATTGACAAACATCATATGTGTAATTCGTGGCACAATTCAAACGGGATCGAAAGATAATCTTTCTCTCCCCATTGACTTCAATACATGATTTTTCCGAAATAAGGTCCCATGGGTCGGAAGTAGAAGGGCGGGACTTCGCCTCTATCTCTGACTATGTGGTTATTATGTGGTAGCACAGAGACTTAATATAAAATCATATCTAGAGAATTTCCTATTTTGTTATATGGTTTTGATGTAGCCTGCTACCTAATATCCATATATAGTTAGTTTTGCACTGGGTTTTAAAGAAAGATCACTGAAAGCCAAAACATTTAAAAGTAATCTTTGTAATACCCATGGTCGCACAGCCAGTAGTCGAAATCCGAAAGCCATGCTAACCAAACTGCCCAGGATCATTCCAACTGCAGACTGAGAAACACACACACACACACACACACACACACACACACACACACACACACACACACACACACACCACACACACACACACACACACACACACACACACACACACACACACACACACACACACACACACACACACACACACACACACACACACACACACACACACACACACACACACACACACACACACACACACATTTATTACTTATACTTCCAATGACAATACAATATTGTATTTTTCTTTACCCACCACTATAAGTGCCCATTTCTTCATTTTGCAGGTCCCATACAAACCAATAATGGGAAATATCAGATAAGGGATGGAAAAAGAATACATCAATTGAATGCCTTCATGGTCTCTCTGTGGAGAAAACAAACACAAAAACATTGAGCAACTTATTTAAATATTAAAAAAAACGTGTCCTGTGTAGTCATGCATTCAAGCAGCGATACTCTCTGGATTGTTGCCTTTAGTCATTTCTAATGGTAAAGTTTGTAATTTTTTCTAAAAATGTTCAACTCAAAGAATCCTTAAAATATATTTTATCAGAACCACACATATAGTTAATATACCTGTGTTAACGTCTCATCTTGAAGGAATCTGTGCAGTGACAGACTGATGAATGTTAACAGCAGGACACTGACAACCTGCAACAGCAGAAACACAATCCATTAAATGACTTTCTAGTAGCATCAGCTATAATATTGTCCTGAAATTACTGTAATAATGCCTGAAAATATATTACATTTTGGCTTAAACATGAAATATGGAATTGTTCAATTGATTTGAAATAAACGACTTGATTTAAGCTTCTGATAACAGTAACATTTCACCAAATAGTTTCCTCATAAGAGCCCCTGGTTTTAGTTGACACTGAACAAATGAAAACCACTTACCACATTCAAACTGAAGACACAAATGCAACTCCATTTCAACCACGCGTTCACTCTCCCCATTTTGTTGCTGTTAATGGCCAACATATGTAGCCTAAAGTTCTATAAATCCACAGTATAGGCTTCACAGAGATGTAAGCTTTAGTGTAGTCAAGTTACCACAGCACTGTTGTTTTTGATCACAGGCTTAGATGGGGAGGCAGGCCCTCCCCATCTAAGGGGCGGGACATCTCTAAGCAGTTGACCAATCACAACAGAGTCGGACAGCTAACCAATCAGAGCAGACTGGGCTCTGGTTTCAGACGGAGGGTGACAAGAGATGCTGCAGCACAGGCAGTATGAGAAAAATAAAGACCTTTTTGAACAAAAAAGCATGGATACATGTCACAGTAAAGGCACAAAATATGAAACCGAAAAATTAGCATAATAAGGCCCCTTTTATCTACCAAGCAGTAAAGAAAGTAATACAAATGAATCACACCTTTATCAGATGCATCATTAAAACGATAATGCATCAACAACTATTTTATGATTCTGAAATGGTCCATACTACATAATGTGTACTGTGTATTTTTATTTCAACTTATTTTTGTTACGCTCTCACGAGCCTACAGGACTGAACTCCAAATGCTGAACACCAGGAAGAGGACACAGAGCTTCGTTGGTAAAAAAGGTTTATTAAACCAGAAAACCCTTCGGAAAACAACAGAGAGATTAAATGTCCACTTAATCCGGGCCAGGGTTTTGTCACCAGCGGAGGTGCGGAGATGCACAGGGAACACCGGCGAGGTGAGCCGGGGATCCAGAGCTGGCGAGGGTTGACAGGCTTGAGCTGTTGTGCGTGGAAGCACGGAGGGAACACCGACGAGGAGAGCCGGGGATCCAGAGCTGGCGAAAGTTGACAGGATCGAGCTGGTGTGCGTGGAAGCACGGAGGGAACACCGGCGAGGTGAGCCGGGGATCCAGAGCTGACGAGAGTAGACAGGATCGAGCTGGTGTGCGTGGAAGCACGGAGGGAACTCAGACGAGGAGTCGGAGGCTGGACGTGGCAGGCAGAGGAGTAGGCAGATGGATACTGGACAGAGAGCATAAGGTAAGGATTCAGGTACACAGATTGTATAGTTTAACTATAGTGAAAATACCAAGTCGTATTTACCAGCGTGGTGAAACGACGAACTGGTGAATACTGGATGAGGGAACCGGGTATATAAGCAGGTGAAGGTGAGTAGTTGTAATCAGGATGATGAGCAGCAGCTGAGGAGGTGAGTTGGCGGGAATCAGAAGTGGGTCAGCCACACCCAGCCAGGGAGACAGACACACAGACAGACAGACAGAACATAACAAACAAAGAGGAGAAGAAGGAGGGAGATACTGCAAATCCTCACAGTACCCCCCCCCTCAACGGGAGCCTCCTGGCGACCACCAGGCTTGTCAGGGTGAGCCCTGTGGAACTCCCTCACCATGACAGGGTCCATGATGCGTGACCGAGGCACCCAGCAACGTTCCTCCAGGTTGTAACCCTCCCAATCAACCAGGTACTGAAAGCCCCTGCCCCGGCGTCTGACATCCATAAGCCGACGCACGGTGTAGGCAGGATGATCATCGATGACTCGGGGGGGAGGAGGGGGAATGGTTGGAGGGCACAGGTCACTGGTGTGGACTGGCTTGATCTGGGAAACATGAAACGTTGGATGAATCTTCATGGTCCTGGGGAGCTTCAGACGGACAGCAGAGGGGTTGATGATGCGTTCAATGGGAAAGGGACCAATGAACCGAGGGGACAACTTCTTTGACTCCGTAAGGAGGGGAACATCCTTCGAAGACAACCAAACTGACTGTCCAGGGGCATAAGGGGGAGCGACATGTCTGTGGCGATTAGCAGATCTCTGATTCCTGGAGGAAGTCCGAAGAAGGGCTGAGCGAGTGTCCCTCCAAACCTTACGGCAACGAAGAATGTGTTGTTGGACGGATGGAACAGACAACTCATTCTCCTCTTCAGGAAACAGGGGTGGCTGGTACCCTAAGGAGGCTTCGAATGGAGAGACACCAGTAGCAGAAGAGGTGAGAGCATTGTGGGAATACTCAATCCACGGTAGATGGGAACTCCAGGTTGACTGGTTATGGTTGGCAACACAACGGAGAGCAGATTCCAAATCCTGATTAGCCCTTTCAGTTTGGCCGTTTGACTGGGGGTGATAACCTGAAGTCAGACTGACAGATGCACCGAGAGATTGACAAAAAGTCTTCCAGACCTGGGAGGTGAATTGAGGACCACGGTCGGAGACGATGTCTGCCGGGATACCATGCAGGCGGAAAACATGCAGGGTGAGAAGCTGGGAGGTCTCCAGGGCTGAGGGGAGCTTCGGCAGAGCAACAAAATGGGCACATTTAGAAAAACGGTCTACTACTGTAAGTATGGTTGTGTTACCCTGAGAGGGAGGTAGGCCAGTGACAAAGTCCAGAGCTATGTGAGACCAAGGTCGACTAGGGATTGGAAGGGGCTGAAGCAATCCTGCAGGTCTCTGATGAGAGGCCTTGCTCCTAGCACATGTAGTACAGGCAGAAACGTACTCCTTAGTGTCCCTATCCATTGTTGGCCACCAAAAACGTCTCCGGAGAAGAGAGAGTGTGCGGTTGGCACCAGGATGATTTGCGAAACGGGAGCTGTGGACCCACTGCAGGACTTGAGAGCGGACAGAGTTGGGGACAAACTGACGGTTTGGCGGACCACAACCAGGGTCCGGTTGCTCCAATAGCGCCTCCTGGATGGAGTTACTGATCTCCCAGGTGAGGCCACCCACAACACAGCTCAGGGGAAGAATAGAGTCAAAGAGGTGACTGGTCCCTCAGACGAAAACGACCTGGACAGGGCGTCGGGCTTTGTATTCTTGGAACCAGGACGATAAGTAAGAGAGAAGTTGAAACGACCAAAGAAGAGGGCCCACCTGGCCTGTCGGGAGTTTAGCCGTTTAGCAGACTGAATGTACTCCTGAGGCCTGTACTACGAAGCTGGTTCAACTTAACCTGGATATGTTGGAGTTAGCCGGTTGGCCTAAGCCAAAACATACGCGCTGGCGCTAAGCTGTACTACGACGCCGGTTATCAAGTGGATCGCTCAAGCCAGCCGTGTCCTATCTAGTTAGGTGCGCGTTCACATGAAAGGGGTGGTATTTGGAGCATTCGACCAATCTCAAACATGGACAACCGTACTGACAGCGCAGCGTCATACTTCCTGAATGAAAAGTGAACTTTAATATTTGTCAAATATGAAGAAGTTAAACTTTAAACATCCATGTCTTAAACACTTTATCCAGGATAAAAGCCACATAGCTGCACCTGCAAGGTGAATACAGCTGGTAAAAGAAAAAGTGTTTGAATGCGTACATTAACAGGTTTATGAAATCACTGCCCCGTCCAAGACACGAGTGGATCTGACTTTAATTAGGAGAATTTGACTCGAGTGTTTCGTCAATTTAATGTGTTGCTTAAAATAATACTTCTGCATACAGTATGTGACACTGTGAGTGTTGCACGGCCAGATACGGCTCAAGAAGCTGACTCAGATAAGGAAATATATGATATATTATGATGTGATATGATATGAATGATAATGGCACACATCGACGTCTGCACTCACAGTGCCGCAGACTGTACTTAATGTTACTCTGATCCGGTTACTTATGTCGTGGCAGATATTTAAGTAAGCTTTCTTAACGCTAATATTATAATAGTCAGATTGCTCTGAAGATGGGAGGGGATATTGTATTCATTTTCACGTTCACACAGTCAGTTGATTTTGGCCGGCTGTCTTTCCTGCAACGGCAGTTTTTCTGTATTTCCTCTATCCTGTAATATGAATTGATCGCTTTAAACTCCGCACACGGAGCTCTGATTGGTCAGCAGGCGGTGCTTTCACTGAGTTGATCTCTTAGCCTGCCACCTAACCTGCTCCGGAGCAGGTTTGCCGCTCAGCATAAGTTACCATGGAAATCTAGCCTGCTAAAAAGAGAACCAGTGTCGTAGGACCGGAAAGCCCGAGATTTCCCTGAATTTAGCCGGCTAAGCGAAAATCCAGCTTCGTAGTACAGGCCTCAGGTTTTTGTGGTCAGTCCAAACAAGGAATGGCTGCTCGCTGCCCTCGAGCCAGTGTCGCCACTCCTCCAACGCCATCTTCACCGCCAGCAGCTCTCTGTTGCCCACATCATAATTTCTCTCAGCTGGGGAAAGACGGCGAGAGAAGAAAGCACATGGGTGAAGCTTATTGTCTGGCCCTGCAGTCTGAGACAGAACAGCGCCAACCCCGATGTCAGATGCATCTACCTCCACAACAAACTGCTTGCTTGAGTCTGGCTGGATGAGTATGGGGGCAGAAGTGAACAGTGATTTGAGAAGAAGAAATGCATTGTTAGCATCTGTAGTCCAGGAAAACTTGATTTTGACAGAAGTGAGACTGGAGAGTGGAGCTGCTACCTTGCTATAGTTCCTGATGAACCGGCGATAGAAGTTAGCAAAACCCAGGAACCTCTGCAGCTCTTTCCGAGTAGTGGGGACTGGCCACTCGGAGACAGCTAGGATCTTTCCTGGATCAGCCTCCAACTTGCCTTGCCTGATGATATATCCCAGGAAGCTGACCCGCTCCTGGTGAAACTCGCACTTCTCAGCCTTGACGAACAGCTTGTTCTCAAGCAGCCTTTGTAGCACCTGACTGACGTGGTCCTGATGTTCCTCCAGACTCGTGGAAAAAATCAAGATGTCGTCAATGTAGACAAAAACAAATCGGTTGAGGAAATCTCGTAGGACATCATTAACCAGGGCCTGGAAAACAGCTGGGGCATTAGAGAGTCCAAAGGGCATGACAAGATATTCAAAGTGACCAAGGGGGGTGTTGAAAGCTGTCTTCCACTCATCTCCTTGGCGAATTCGAACAAGGTGGTAGGCATTCCTGAGGTCGAGTTTGGAGAAGATGGTGGCACCTTGGAGAGGTTCAAAGGCTGAGTTTATCAGGGGAAGTGGGTACTTGTTTTTAACTGTAATGTTATTTAGCCCACGAAAGTCAATACAGGGTCGGAGAGATTTATCCTTTTTGTCCACGAAGAAAAACCCAGCACCCAGAGGAGAGGAAGAAGGACGAATTATTCCTGAAGCAAGGGAGTCACCGATGTATCTCTCCATGGACTCTCTCTCAGGCCGAGACAGATTATAAAGCCTGCTGGTGGGTAAAGGAGCTCCAGGCAGCAGATTGATGGGACAATCATAGGGACGATGAGGAGGGAGAGAGAGAGCTTTCTCCTTGTTGAAGGCCCCACTCAGGTTGTGGTAAACCTCAGACAACCAGACAAGTCTATTTCAGCAGAGACACAAGGAGCAGGCTTAGGTTCTACAGGGACGGGAGGCACAGCAGACTGTAAACAGTTAAGGTGGCACAACTGACTCCATTCCATGATTCTTCCTCCGGCCCAATCAATATGCGGATTGTGGGTGCGAAGCCATGGGTAACCAAGAACCAAAGGGGTTGCTGGGGAGGAAATAACCTTCAGTTGAATTTCTTCTATGTGATTACCAGAAATTAACAGGGTTAAGGGTTGTGTCTGCTGTGTAACTTTAGAAATGCTTTTACCATTTAAAGCATAAGCTGTCAAAGGTTCCATTAGAGTTTCCAAATGTAGACCCAGCTGCTTGGCTAGTTCACAGTCCACAAAGCTATCCTCAGCACCAGAGTCAACGAGGGCAGAAAGGGGCAAGGTCTGAGCGTTGAAACAAAGTCTAGCAGGAATCAAAAAACGGCTCAAAGTTGGGGCTACTATAGGTGTAGGTTGCGAACTCGTCAGGACCCCCAACTTCACTGACGAGCCCCTGCGTTTGGGCGGACAGGACAGCCAGAAAGGATATGCCCACCCTTACCACAGTACAGGCATTCTCCAGACCTCATACATCGAAGGCGCTCCTCAGGGGATAATCCAGTGCGTCCCAACTGCATAGGTTCCACCATAGCAGAGGTGGGCACGCGAGTAGGTGAGGTGAAGCCAGATGGTCCGGACACAGAGGGAGCAAACCTGGGTGAGCTGTTTGGCTTATAAGGCAAAGCAAAAGGTGAGGATTCAGGTACACAGATTGTATAGTTTAACTATAGTGAAAATACCAAGTCGTATTTACCAGCGTGGTGAAACGACGAACTGGTGAATACTGGATGAGGGAACCGGGTATATAAGCAGGTGAAGGTGAGTAGTTGTAATCAGGATGATGAGCAGCAGCTGAGGAGGTGAGTTGGCGGGAATCAGAAGTGGGTCAGCCACACCCAGCCAGGGAGACAGACACACAGACAGACAGACAGAACATAACAAACAAAGAGGAGAAGAAGGAGGGAGATACTGCAAATCCTCACAATTTTAACAGGAAACGGACCCTCTCTTCTGAGAAACACTGTACGCTCTTACCATTCTTCCATTCCACTCACAACTCACATACCACAATAAATGAGTCTCTTTTGGGGTATCTGTGATCACTAATGTCTTACTGACAGTAGTCAAATGTTACGGAATGAGGTATATATGGAAAAAATACACATCAAATGCATAATATCTGTAAGGAAAATATAAGTAATGACATATTTGTTTAAAAAAATGTCACATTTCCTTTCTTCCTTACCCAACATCAGCCAGCAGATTGTGGATACATTTTTATCTGTACACTGAAGCATATTAAC